ACTTACATTTATATAGTACCATCTCCCAAGGACATCAGTGTACCGTGCTTCTGGTATAGCGTGATCCACAGTAAACATAGTCCTGGCTCATAATCAATACAGTGCACGTTGTTGGAAGTGACGTTTTTCAGATGAGACATTGAACTGAGATTCTGTCTGCCTGTTCATGTGGACGTCAAAGATCCATGGCACAATTCAAAAAGAGAACAGAGTTTCTCTGCCCTAGCCAATAATCCCTCAAAATAAAACTGGGCAGTCACTCTGTGGTTGTTTGTGGGACGTTGCTGTCGCAAATTGGCTGCCACGTTCGCCTACAAAAATATACATTCACAACACTTTATACAATAAATCCTATTGAGCACTTTGAGACATCTTCCTGATGTGATAGGTACTATATCAAAGGCACTATATCAAATGCAAGAATGATTATTATTATAAAATGTCTGGTTTTGGGTCACCAGGTGGTTACTGACAACACTTTCTCCTTTGTTCATCAGCAGCAAAGAGGAAGTGACTTCAGTGATGGCACCATGAATTGGAAGTTGGCTGTTTTTCTTGTAGCACAGGAGCTGGTGAACTCCTGGGGAGCGAGCGGTTTCCATCCTAGGAAATTCCTATATTTATTTGGAAAGAAACAGTCTTATTACCAAGTCTAAAACCACCAACTCTTTGGGGATTATCCAGCCTAGCTTGACTTGCAAAATGCAATTTTGTGTTTTGCAGAAACCAGATTGAAATTCTGTCCAATATACAGAACTTTTTTCAGAATTTCTGCAGCAAATTTGATTTGGAACACGCTACAGCATATCTTATCGTGTGATAAATGTTTTCTAATGATCCAAGTTCTTCAAAAATCAATTTGGAATCCATGATAAAAGGTAAAGCAACTTGTCACCTGGAGAAAGGGAGTATAATTAGGGCTTCTGTGTTTTGGAACTTTTTTTATCAGTGTTTATCAGTTAAAACCGAAAATCAGAAGCCCTAAATATAATTAAGAGCAACCACCAAGCGTTTATGAAAGGGAAGTCATGCTTGAAACCTTATCAAATTCTTTCAAGATGTAATTAATAAAATAGACAAGGGAAATGCAGTGAATGTTATGCATCTTGGCCTTTGATAAAGTGCCACATGAGGCCCATGACTTGGGCCAATAGAAAAGTGCGGTCGCAATTTTTCAGCGCAATCTGCTATAAACCCGCTTTAAAATGAAGTTTCTGGCCCCGGGCCTCTCGTGATGTTTAGCCAACGTCTCTGTGTGCAGAGTGGCTCCAGAAGCGCACGCCCAGTGCGGCACAAGCAGGAACTGGGCTTCACTCCACTCGGAGGACCCCCTGTTGAGATTGTCTGTGTGTCTCTGTGTTTGTGAGGGTCTATGTATGTGTGTGTGTGTGTGTGTGTGTGTGTGTGTCTCTGTTTGTGAGTGTCTCTAAGCGAGTGTGTGTATTTTGTGTGTGTCTCTCTCTCTCTCTCTGTGCCTGTGAGTGTGTGTGTGAATGTGTTTATGTCTCTCTGTCGCTGTGTATGGTGCAGGGCCCTGGGAGGCAGGAGGTGGTGAACTTCTGTAGCCGTGCAGTCAGGACACTGGTCCTGAGTGCGTTGTTTGGTGGATCGCCAGGCCCTTTCGGCCTGAGCTGCTGTTGTCCACCTCCCCTCCCCCTACCCCGACCCACAAATGGGAATCCCCAGTTTTTGTTAAAGACGAAATTAATAATTTGGGGCAAATATTTCCACATTTTTGTATTGGCCCAGCTCTTGACTCTCTTACATCTATGTCTTCTCATCACTGACTCCCCTACCAGTGGAAATAGCTTCCACCTATTTACCCTGTCACAACCCCTCATAATTTTGTATACTTCTTTCATGTTGCCGCCTCAAGCTCTCTGCTGACCTAATTTCAGAGAGTATTAGGCTCAGGTTTGCAAGAGCCAAGGCTTGGGGACCCCAGAGTGTGCATTAGGATGCTGCTAGAGTTTAACCACAGCTAAAACCACATTAACTTGCCATTGAAAGTACTGTCTGTCAAGTTTAATAACCCTATAATCTTACATTTAATACAGTGCCTTTCATGTTGGAAAGTTTTAATGGCTCATTGTCATCTGAATCAACGTCCTGATGCTTGTCCAGCTGGGAACACCCTACCCATGAGGGCTTTGGCTTGCAGAATTAATTGGAACTGAGTGGGAGGAATCTTTGACCAAATAATCTGTCTGTCTTTCCCTCCAGCTGCCGTTGATGAGTCAGGTTGACTTGTCTGTCATTGTGAAGTCAACTCATGTCTCATTCCAATGGAATAATTGGTAACTGCTTATGAACTTTCTAAACATAGTTCTGATGTATGAAACTATTACATCCACATATTTTTGAGTTTTTCTACAATGTACCTGTATAACATGCAAAGTAATTCAATATTTAGTCATTGGTTAGTGTGCAAAAGGTTGTCATTCCAAGTCGGATGCTGTTTCAGAGATTGCAATCAAGAAGATATTAACCTAAGTAAATCTGAAGTGGGCATTTTTAATGCAGACACAGAGCAGTTTTTGTTAATGTCTCCATGTCCCAAAGCAAGTTGTAAAAAGATTAGAATCAATCTTTTTTAATGTGTGTGTGAGTGTATGGAACATTAACCCTCTAGCACTTGAAGTAAATGCGGGCTTTGGGAGATCATTGGGAGTTGAACAATCTAGCATTTGGTGATTTTGTGCTTCAGAAGGGTAGGAAGAGTCAAACGTCCTAAGAATGAAACGTGATGTTGCTGTGAACACTTGGACTCAATGAGCCAATTATCCCTAAGGTACCTTTCCTGCTGAAAACAAAAACAAGTCAGAAGGATTGTGAAGCCTCACTTGAAGAACATATTTGGTTAAGTGCAGAATATGAAGCTTCAGAACTTATTGAGTTGTTTAAAAAGAAAACAGACAGACACAATAGCGTAAGTAGATACATAGATATTCTGTGAAGTGCTTTCACATGATAAGGCGCTGCATCAAATGCAAGGATTATTATTATTAGAAGTTGAGGATATGGGGAAATGTTATTAAAAAATCTGCCACAGTCTTAAAGCATCTGTAGATCAGGCTTGATGGATCTGTGCCAATGTAGGAGTAAAAATAATCATCTTTGCCTTTGATGTACTGTCTCTTATCATATCTTTGAAACATTCTCGAAGCGCTTAATAAGATTTATTGTAAACTGTAGTAATTGTATATTTCTAGGCAAACCTAGCAGTCAATTTGCGCGTAGCCACTTACCACAAACCGCGATGATGTGAATGACCAATTTTAATTGTAGGATTGTCGGCCAGAACAGAGTGCAACTGCCAACAAAGACCAAAACAGTCAAATTCATTTGAATTGATTCTCCTCCGGTCAAGAACATTTACTGCCCTTGATGGGGCGAACACATTGCCTTTTAGTGATATATTTACTATCAAGAGGAAAACTGCCCTTGTAATTCTCCCCATTTATGATACGTTATTGTATCACATTTAATAAGGCAGTAAATTTTGCTTTATTTTGGGAGAACGTCAGTCTGTTAGCTGGTGAATGTCTGAATAGCTGTGACCCTGTGTTTGAAATCATAAGAAAACTGAAAACTATCAATTGGTGCCAAACTCTGCAATGGGCTTGTTCTTGTGAGCTGCTATCACTTGACTGTCAAAGTACATGCACTCAAAGTACATGCACTCACTCCAGTCATAAGCATAGAGCTGTAGTAGTATTTTGCTTGAGTGAAAGCGTTCCTAAGTGCTTCCTGTCAACTGGTGTGTATAACGGAAACAACACTCCCTGGAATTGGAGGTAGGTTTTGTTTCAATCTAGAACACTGCCCAGTGTTGTCAACTATCGAGTGCAAATGAACATGTTTGGTGAATCCCCCCTTCCCCCCGCCTTTACTGTTTGTAGGGGAAAAAGGGAATATTTTAAGGATTGCTCAAATTTTGAAAAATTCAATGTTTTAATTAATTTCTGTTCTGAAGCTTTTAAAATTAATATATTATTTTAAAAAAACAAAACTTCTAACCAGAAATCAGCACATTTGTACTTAATGTATTACTAGAAATTTACAGCACAGAAGAAGCCGTTCAGCCCATTGTGTCACCTTCAACCTTCACTGTCTTTACCCATCACATGAAGTGATGGGTAAAGACAGTGAGGAGGATTGTAGCAGACTGCAGAAGGACATAGACAGGCTGGTGAAATGGGCAGACACATGGCAGATAAAATGTAATGCAGAGAAGTGTGAAGTGATGCATTTTCAGAGGAGGAATGAGGAGAAGCACAACTAGGCAAATGGTCTCCTTCTGTGCTGTAAGATTCTAGATTCTAGGACTACATTTCCCGCGATTCAGTGCATCTTGACCCGTCACCACATGGGCACTTACTGACAAAAGTTGGAATCGCATTGAATTGCGGGAAATGAAGTTTTTGTGCGATACATTGACAGATGAAGACTAGGTTTCCTGCAAATCAGTGCAGCCAGCCGGGCCGGTAAGTGAGCATGTGTCTACAGGACAGGATGTCATTTCCCATGACTCAAGTCCTGTGGCAAGCGTAAGAGTAATAAAGAATAAGGGAATGACATTACGAATTAGGAGGTGAGTAATACAAGTAGTGTAAATAAATCTAAGTGGTTTTGATAAGAAACTGAATGGGACTTGGGTGAATGTATGGCTCAGGCGTTTATCCGATTTATAAAGATAAGACTTATGTGAGTTTTACCATAAATACAAGTTGTTGTATTGGATGAATTGGAGTCCACCGTATTTAATAGTAAGGGGAGGGGATTGTTAAGACCAATACAGAAGAGGACAACTTGGAAGATCGTTGCAGAAAAGATTAATAGAAACTGTGGAACAATCTGCACCAAGATCCTCACACTGTCCATGTAGTGGCTGCATTTAAAGAGATTATTAGTATTGAAAGCAAATGAAAATGCTAAACAGTAAAGCAAAGACACAGTATTTTTATGAATTTTCAGACCTTCCTCCTTTTATGCCACAGGTCAGATCAATTGGTTTGGGTATGAAAGCCCACGAAGTTTCTGGGATTTCATCCGTGTGGCCTGCAGCAAGGTTCCCCACAACTGCATCAGCAGCATTGAGAACATGGAGAACGTAAGCTCCACAAGGGCCAAGGTTAGAAATTGAATGCATCCTGATAATAATAATAATTCTTACGTTTGATATAGTGCCTTATCACGTTGTTGAGATGTCTTAAAGTGCTTCACAAAATTTTGTTCTTTAGTTTGTAAAAATGGAATCACACATTTTCCTATATTAGTTATATATGTCCCAAGGTTTTCTCAGACTTATTGGGTTCTGTCTGCTGAATACTATCTTATGCTCTAACCTCTGTCTACAAATCCATTCATGCCCTGGCACCTCCCTACGTCTTCGATCCGCCACTCCCCGACCCGCTACCTCCGCTCGGCTGGCTCCGGCCTCTTGCTTGTCCCTCATCCCCTCCACTCCACCATTGGTGTTCGTTAATCTTTCAGCCACCATGTCCCGAAACATTGGCACTCTTTCCCTCAAACCCTCCACCTTGCCCCGTCCTTCCCCATTTTCAGATAACACCTGAAGACCTTCCTCTTCGATCGTGCTTACGGTAATCTAAACTGGGGCTGTGTAAGGCTCTGCCATTGTTAAGTGTTTGGAGAAGCTACACTGCTTGAAGGGCGCTATATAAATACAAGTTGTTATTGTTACAAAATACATTAATGTTTCAGGTTTCTTACTTTGAGATAATTCAAATGGCCCATTGTTAATCATTTCAGTATTAAATTGTATTATAGTCTCTGTTGATAGTTTCATTGACTTCCTGTTGGAGAGAGTGATGCTTGGCTGCATTTCCTTTGAGGAAGAGAACAAGACTAGCTATGTTTGTCTGTCTCCCTGGATCCACAGATATTCTGACCTCATACCAGAGCAGAGTAGTGTGGATTCATGTGGCTGTCAAAGTATTAAGAAGGAGAAAAATGTACAGTATGAATTATTTTTATCATACAAATTCTAAGAAAGTTCCAGTCATACCTCTACCTATGTCATATATTGTGATAAGAATAATACACAAACACATATAAACACTTCCTATGTTATTTCCATAAAGTATCATTGCAGATTGGATTGAATTAAATTGTTAAGGAATCATAGGGTGTTACCACACAGAAATGGGCCACCATGTTGGTGTTTTTCTCCATATGAGCCACTTAATGTAATGCAATTCTCCGTGTCACTCAAGATAGTTACCCAAACAATCTATTTAACTCCATGAAGCAGAACTTCCTTTCCACACATTCAAACAGTGATGCTTTGAGGGTTAATGTCTGTCTTCAGACAATGTATTGTACATTTAATAGAGTTTGACAATATCTGCTTATAATGGGATATCCACACATGTCACTCCTCTGTACCTGTTGCATTTGTATTTATTTTCCGTCGTCATGTTGATTTGCTGGAAAGGATGTTATAAATTTAGCTACAAACAAGTGCATCAGAACCACAGCTTGAACCTTCTCTGACCTGCTGCCTCCCTACCAACCTCCCCACTCCCTCCGTTCATCGAGCGCCGGTCTGCTCCATGTCTCCCGCCCTACCATCGGTGGCCAGGCTTTCAGTCTCTCTGCCTCCACACTCCATCTCACAGTCCCTTCGCCTCGCTTCCTCCCTTGCCTCCTTCAAGGCCAGTCTCAAGACCCTTCTCTTCAACCATGCCTTTGGTCTCCCTCCCACCTCTCTGCCTTCCCTCCCCCCTACACCACCCCTCTCCCATGCTCGGGCCCCGACACGTGACTGTTCAGCGCTTTGGGACGTCCTCTCGACATGAAAGGATCTATAAATGTAATGTTGTTGTTGTTGTTATTAAGAGTTATGAAGAGCAATTTCAGGACAGACACCAGGAAATGTATCTTTACCCAGAGGACAATCAATGCCTGAAATGGGTTGTTAAGATGCGTAGTTGAGGCGAGGACATTAGATTCATTTAAAAAGAAGCTTGATGCTGTAATGGGAAGATGGTAGAGTGGGTGTTCTGGAGGGTTAGGCTGAAGAGCCTTCTTCATTCAAATGAATCATGTGATCAGTGTAAAATAATAATACACGCTTCTATAAATTAATGGGAGTTACCTGTTTTTTTCAGAAACACATCCTTCTCCAATGTTCCCCTCTCCAGAAGATGTTCATTTAGGATCAATAGATGTCTTCGCTCAAGTGACCATAATTCATGTATTTTTAAAAAAATCTGTGTTTGCTAACACTTTCTAAAATTTAGATGTAAATGTTTGGGGTCATTTTCTATACAGACAGACTGAGTATTGCAGAAGATGAGAGGAGGAGGAGTTGAAAGATATTGGCTCTGCTGTTAGAAGCTGCCCTGATCAAATTAGTGTGCGTTATTAGTTGGATTCCAGCAGCAGAAGTTTATTTCTTGTCATTGTAACTATTACCTTGGCAAGACTGCAGCATGTGTTGCCTGAAAGACGTGTATACCACTGACTCCTACATGTCTGCTCAGATGTGTCTGGCCCTGTCACCATGTGCAGTTGTTAGTATGATGAACAGAAGAAGACTGCAGCTGCTGATTGAATGAAGTTTAATATTCCGATGTTTCACTTTTTGCTCTTGTAATTTGACAGGGCAGAGCATGGATCCGTGTAGCACTCATGGAGAAGCGACTGTCTGAATATATTTCCACTTCCCTGAGAGACATCAGGACAATCAGGTCTTTATGAATTTCAGTGTTCTATAATACCTGCATTACAGCAGTACAAGCAAATAAAGATTCAGCGTAAACAAAACACAAAATACTGCAGATGCTGGAAATCTGAAACAATAACAGAAGTCGCTGGGGACACTCAGCAGGTCAGGCAGCATCTATGGAGAAAGGAAAGTGAGTCAACGTTTCAGGTCCACGACCCTTCGTCAGAACCGAGGCATGTTGGCTGACTCAGTTTGCTGACTATTTTAAGACAGTTAATTTGCAAATTTTAAGTTCCAATTAACCATCTTAAAGCCTCTCCCTCCCAACATGCCCCAGTTCTGATGAAGGGTCATGGACCCAAAACGTTGACTCACTCTCCTTTCTCCATAGATGCTGCCTGACCTGCTGAGTGTCCCCAGCGACTTCTGTTTTTGTTTCAAATAAAAATTCAGTTTGGAAGGACTCTTTGGAATAAATAAAACAATTTATCTGCTGCTTGCCAGTGGTAATGAAAGATGCAAATAAACATTTGTTTCACGAAGCATAAAACTTGTTGAATAAAAAGCCGGTATTAGCTTGACGTGCGCTACAAGGCTTAGAATTTCTCATGATCTCAATGAAAACCTTAAAATTTTGGATTCATTCTTAAATTCAGTCTTGATTGCCAAATTTTAATTTCAAAATTAACCACCTTAGACTTAAAACCATGATAACTGGACTAAAACCCTGTCACTTTTCAGGCCCACAGATCTACCTGCCCAGTGGTTTCATACAGAGCATTAAGTTGGCAATGCCACTGAGTGACATCTGGGCACTGTTATCTGGAGGAGTTTGTTGTTATTTGAGATCTTGATTTTTTTTCATTCCTTTTGCAGAAGGTACTATGAAGATGGAGCGATTGTGTTGGGGGAAGAAGCAAACATGCTTGCTGGGATGCTGCTCGGACTCAATGCCATTGATTTTAGGTAACTGGTTGGATTTATTTTCGGGAATTCTCTTTCCTTCAATTTAGACTAGATATTATTACAATTTGAGATTTGTGTGCTTTATGAGGAAAGCATGAAAATTGTCTTAATATTTGACCCCACAGCGAGTAAGTCTAATCGATGGAATAAATTGGCATCTAAAATGCCTTTAACGGCGTGAACGGTGATGGAAAAGCACCTGTGATGTAAAGACCCCTTTCTTTGGGGAACCTCCGCTGTTTGTCACAGTCATGGACTTTGGCTTCGACCCGAGATCTCATCGGAGCCAAAGCCTTGCAACTCTTAATGCAGTGTAAATGGGTTTCCCTGGAGAAAACTGTTTCAGTTGCAGGGAAATTGCCAGTCACCATGCAGCAGCTATGAAGTCAGAGCACTGTTTAGATGCCAATATTTTTTCCACCTTCAGGGTTGATGAACTTGACATTCAGTGTTCTTGGAAAGCAGCCCCAGGAAGCCATTTCTTATTGCAAATGCAATGTGGAGTCCTGTAGCTCAGTGTCTAGAGCACTCACCTCACAAGCGAGAGGACCTGAGTTCGATTACAGGGCAGGGGGAGCATTGGGCAGGTTTCCTTACTCCATGCATCTCTGTTTATGTAGCAGTAAGTAAGAATCTGACTGTTAGTCAATTGGTGGAATGCTTTCCGGGGTAATAATCCCCCCACCTCCCCCCCACCGTTGTGCACAATTGGCTGCCGTGTTTCTCCCACAAAATATACAGTCAATCCATTTTATAGTATATTCTGTGAAGCACTTTGAGACTTCTCACCTCGTGTTAAGGCACTACATAAAATGTAGGACTATTATTATTATGTAATTGAGAGTAAAATGGGGGAAACCTAGTAGCAGAAAATCTATAGCTGCCAAGGAAATATCACACATTGCATCCTACATAGGAAAAGTAAAATACAGAAAACATTTCTGCTGCTGACACAAGACGCTTACTTATTTTATTCTAAAATAATCCTTGCATTTAACATATCCTGAGAAAATCTCAAAGTGTTTGTAGGGGTTTTACTGTGAAGTTTATTGACTATGTGTTTCGTAGGCAAAATGCTATTAGTTATGTATTGCTAGCTGGAACTGAGATGACCACATGATTCATTGATTTCATCTGAATTATGTCATTCACTTATTTTATAAAATATGTTCAAATCAGATCACCCCTAGAAGTAAATTTGATCTAAAACTCTTCTGTTGCAAATATCAAATTCCATGATTTGAATGCAAGTATGGTCCTTCTGTCCCTCTCCCCACCAAGTGCAGGTTTTCTGTCAATTGTGTGAAGTGTTTTGAGACATCCTCTCAACATGAAAGGCGTAAATTGTTGCCGTATAAAATTCTTGGATTTGAATTACATTAAGATAACTTGGTATGTAACCTACTGTGACCTACTGCATCTAGCAATATTCTTTCAGGAGCCCAAGCATTCCATGTGAAAATAGCATCTAATAGATTTGGTAACATACTGGAAATCTTGCCCAAGCATACATGTTGTTTGTGTCTCTGTTTGAAGGAGAACATTAAGATTGTCATTAGTCCCTAAATCCTGTATCTCTACATTTTGTGTATAGATATCAATGTAAAGTAGATAAGACGAGTCCTGTGGCGTAGTGGTTAGAGCGCTCACCTTGCAAGTGAGAGGACTTGGGTTTGATTCCTGGGCGGGGCGAAACCGTAGGCGAGTGGGCTTAACCCACACGCCTGTTTACCTAGCAGTAAGTAGGAACCCAGTTGCTAGTCGATAGGTGAATCGCTTTTCGGGTCTAATAATCCCTCCCTCAATCCATGACCGTTTGTGGGACACTGCGGCACACAATTGGCTGCCGCAGTTTCTCCACAAAATAACAGTTAAAGCCACTTTACAATATATTCTGTGAAGCACTTTGAAACGTCACAACAGAATGATAAGGATGTATATCAAATGCAAGGATTATTTTTATTCTTATTATAAATGCTGTGTATATTTTTTTTAAATGTAATAAATATACTTCATAATGAGTCTAATGTAATACTGAAATGTTAAAAGGTTTCCTTGAAATCAGATTGTCTAAGCGGCAAGATATTCATCTTCTGTTCTTAAGTTTCTGTTTAAAGGGAGAGAGCATGGATGGCAATTATCCTGCAGTTATAGACTACACCCCCTATCTGAAGTTTACACAAAGGTAAATTCCTAATCTTCTTCGTTTTGCCAACACCTTGCAATAGCATTACAGGGTTAAAATCCCAAGGATAAAATAAATAAAATATCCATGGTTCAATAGAAATTCTCAACTCGGTGTGAAATAGCAAAACCTAAACTCTGTTCAGCTTTCCTTGAGTGTGTGTCCCCTTGCTATGGTTTCTAACCTTCAGTTTAACTAAAAACTTTAAGGATCTTGAACAGTTAAATAGATTTCTGTGCCTTCTCTTCAGTGTGGCTCTTCCCAGTTTATGTAGCGTCTCCTCATAATGTTAGATACCAAATTCCAGCGATTATTTTAGTTGCTGTTCACAATGACAAAATATCCCTGCTTAATACAGCAACCAGCAATGCATGCAGAACTCCCCAAAAATCCAGAATTTGAAAAAAAAAANCCTGCAGTGTTCCACGTCCAACCACCCGCTGTTTCCTATAATTTAGTCTGTCTTGTATCTGCTCCAGAACCGCTCTCTAGTTTTCCAACCTTGTGGTCTAATTTCCTTATGGCATTGTGTGAAAACATTGTCAAAGTCAAAATATATAATATATACTAATAAAAATATACAATGTATGATATGTACTAAGATCCTGTTCAGCAGATTTTTCATTCACAAGGCCATGATGAATTCCTCATATAATTCTATATTTACACTCCCGCCCCACCGCCCCGCCCCACCGCCCCAATCTATTCAGAGCCTGTTTATTCAGAAGCAGTCACTGTTTAGCTCAGAGCTATTTCCCACAGGGGTCTGACTTATAAGTGGTAAAGTATTGGGGTGAAATATGTAACCTTTTGTAAACATGAACATTTAACTAATCTAATCCCATTTCTCTGCTCATTTCCCATAATATTTTTAGATTGTTCTTTTTCAATTGTTTGAATAATTCCCTTTTAGACGTTCTTATGGTCACAGCCTCAATAGCGAGTTGTGGCAGACCAATTCACACTCTAATTAACATCTTCCCCTTCCTAAGCTTTCTCATTAATAGTTCTGGTTTTATGCATCGTGGTTGCACAAAGAGTAATATTTTATTTCTTGCTTAAAATTCTCTGCTAAATGAAATGTGCTTTAATGAGATGAGGGGCTGTTCTATAGGCACATGATAAGTTGAACTTTTTCCAGCTTTCTGTCTCATTGAGCTAATGTTATAGTTAAATTATAGCTGGTGTTTGGCCTAATCTAATTCATGTTGTGTGGTCTGTGAAGCTCTGAGAGCATCAGCAGTGATGAGGAGGAACTGCGGACTCTAGGAAGCAGTGGCAGTGAAGGCAGCACTCCAGAGAACATCGGGCCACCTTTCATCACCGATGAGAACAGTTGGTATAACAAGTGTAAGCGAGTGGAACAGAAGTTCAGGGTGGCACTGGAGCAGAAGGTAATTGCCAGAGATGGTGTGATATACTGTGCTATTGAAATTTATGGTATGATTTGACTTCCCACATGTTTCAGCTCAAAGTTGTGTCCTTCATGTAAGTTGTCAAGCAGAGGTTACAGACTGCTGTCTGCTCCCTCCTTCAACTGAGAGGGATAGGGGTAGAATTGAATGGCATGTCACTTTGAACCTCTTTCACACTGCTCCACACCCAGGAGCAGATAGTAATAACCCTTGCATTTAATATAGCGCTTTATCACATCTTCGAGACGTCTCAAAGCGCTTCACAGAATATACTGTAAAGTGAATTGACTGTATATTTTGTGGGCGAAACACAGCAGCCAATTGCACACAGCAGTGTCCCACAAACAGTCGTGGATTGAGTGACCAATTTATTTTTGAATTTTTTTTGAAAGAATTGTTACCCCCAGAAAAGTGATCCACCAATCGACTGACAACCGGGTTCCTACTTACTGCTAGGTAAACAGAGGTATGTGGAGGAAGAAAACTTCACCCTGCCCAGGAATCGAACCCAGGTCTCATTAAATGAAATTTGCAGAGTCCTGGGAGCAGGGCATCTCCCCATCCTCTTACTGGGGAGTAATCAATCAATGTGAATCTGCACCGAATACTCTCCCAGGACTAGGTGGGCAGGATGCTTTCCTCCAGGGAGAGTGTGGATTCCATTCCAGATGCGGGGAAAATTCAATGCATAAATGACATACATATGTGGAACTCTTTTTGCTTTGGGTATTCCTGATTGGGGATAATAATTCCAAAATTGGTACTTTTGATTACATGCGATTACTTGTGTGGAGATGTGCGAGAGAAAGCCTGACTGTGGTGTCAGACCAAGTGCTTGTTTGAAAATTGAGGCTTTATTGGTGAAGGTGTTAAAGCAGTTCAGTCGAACAAAAGTGGACTTTGTGTTTGTCTAACGTGTTTAAAGGAAATATTTTCTGAAAAATTGCAGTTAATAATAATTAATAATCATAATAATGGTCTAACAAATCATGGAATTTAAGCCAATATACAGATCTTTTCATGTGTACCTGTTGCATATGTTACAAAAATTCCAATTACAAAAGTTACTGAAGTTTGTTTTCGATCAGCTAGATGTTTGACACATGCACATACCCATTGCTATGCTTAAGAGTCATTGAGAGTTCCACATATGTACAAAACCATGTATAAACAGTGATCATGTATATTTTTGAAGATTATCCATACAGTAAATCAGTGTTGACAAATGCATTACTGTATCCCAAAAGGGAAACAACTGAGATGTGAAACATTAAGGAATATAACAACAATAATAATGTAATTAGTATATATAATATGGTTTTATTGCTTAATAGGATTGCAATTTTATATACATAATATATCTATTATATATAACTTGGCTTCTTTATATTTGAAAAATGGCTCGAGTGTGTTAAGGCTATAATACAAATGTGATAGTCTCAGAATTTTATGTAAATAATCCGTTCATTTGACATAGTGCCTTAATACGGCATCAAACCACTTCACAGGTTTTGGGCCACCTTTCAACATCAATGAATGTGAATCTGCACCTAATACTCTCCAGAATTAGGTGGCAGAGTCTTTCCTCCAGGGAGAGTGTGTATTCGATTCCAGACACCGGGAAATTATTGATTCACTGTAAAGTGCAGTGACTGTGTATTTCTAGTTGCAATCTGACATCCTCATATCCTGTGAATTCTAATAGCTTGTTGTAGTGTTTAAGATTCTGACTGTCCTGACAATATGTGGTTTGCTCCTGATGCAACCCCAGACTGCAAATAAGCACAGATCCAGACACGAGTTGCAAAATTAAATGGTGCCAGTGGAAAAAGTGAAACTGATCAGTAAAACAGGAAAGAATAATCGAACCAAAATGTCAAAAGAGCAATTTAGACATATAATAGCTGTCTTGGATTTAGGTTTTAGACTGTAATACAATCCTGAGTTTCCGATTAGTGTATAAACTGATCTTTGGTTTTGTGGTTTGTAGCATCCTTTGAGTTGACTGTGTTGTAACTATAACTACTCCAAGCAAGCTGCTGTTCTACTTCGTTGGATCTACACTTCCCACGAAACACCAGAATTCATCTTAATCCTTGCATTTGATATAGCGCTTTTCACGTCAGGAGGAAGTCCCAAAGCGCTTCACAGAACACACTGTAAAGTGAATTGACTGTATATTTGTGGGCGAACGCGGCAGCCAATTGCGCACAGCAATGTCCCACAAACAGTCGTAGATTGAAGATGACCAATTTATTATTGTTTTGTTTTGGAGGGATTATTATTAGGCTCTGTGTGGAGTAAGGAAACTTGCCCAAGGTTTCGCCCTGCCTGGAATTGAACTCAGGTCTCTCACTTGCAAAGCGAGTGCTCTAACCACTGAGCTACAGGACTTCATCAAAAGTCTGTTTTATGCTAACATTTAATGGTTTGTTCAACAAACCCAGAGGAGCACAAAGGCAAAATCTAAGATCCAAATAATACAAGTGTACAGTTTTTGACCTTTGGCATTCTCAATGTACAGATGTGTAGAGAGAAATGAAAGGAAAGGTGTAATGCGCTCTCTGGAGTAAAGCATATACACAGTAACTACACTTTACAGAAATCTCGGTTTAACATCTCATTTTAAGGATTGCACCTTTGACAATGCAGCACCCTTACTGCACTGGAGTGTCAACATGAACTAGGACCTCAAAGGCTGGAACTCACAGCCTCCTCTCCCGTAGGTGATAGTGCTACCAACTGAGCCAAGCCTCCTTGATGGCATTTTTCCTTTCCCTAGTTTCAGATGATTAAATCTCCCACCTCCTTGGGTGTAATATTGTGCTTGCTTTAATTGCATAACAAAAAAATCTTTTCATCAAATAGCTTGGCGAATAAAACAAGTCAACTCTGTAGTTGGTCGATTGGTGGATTGCTTTTCCAGGGTTAATGATTCTTAAACAAAATTGATCACTTCTATCCACAACCATTTGTGGGGACACTGCTGCGCGCAATTGGCTGTCGCGATTCGCCCACAAAATATACAGTCAATTCACTTTACAGTATATTCTGTGAAGCGCTTTGAGTTGTCAAGAAGACATGATAAGGCGCTATATCGAATGCAAGGATTATTGTTATTAATATTGTGTAAGGGAACAGGAATCTCACATTAGGAATTTACTAAAGCTGTACATTGTGCTAACTGTACCTATCTTTTTTTATTATACATCATAAATGACCAAGAACACACTAAAGTGAATTTGATGATGTAAGATGTTCATTTTCCCCATTTATCTGAAAAGGCCTTTCGATATCCCTCCTTCCTCCCCGACCCCCAGCTCGGGTCCGAAACTCTGTCTGTCCAGCACCTTAGGACGTCCGCCCGACGTGAAAGGCGCTACACAAATGTATTTTTGTTGTTGTTGGTAGCTCTTTCTGAGAGGATTTAAAAAGTATTTAAATTACTTTTTCTTGACATTTTGTTTGTGCGTGCAGTGAGTGTTGAGATGCAGTCGAAAGAGTGGTGGAGTGCTCTTTAGAGGGTATATGTGGGTCAGGGGAGGAGGAGGAATGGGAGAGGGGCAGGAATGGGGAGAATGGTGGGTGTAGGTTTGATTTCTAATCCTTTTCTGAATAGTTGCTTATTTTAATGGAGACCAGGTTTGACCTGAATGCAAAATTGGCTGCTGCATTTACATACAGTCACTACACTTAACATTACAATCCTGTAAGACTTCTTGATGATGTGATAAGACCCTTTACCAAATGTAAAAGTAATTATTATTTATTACTGTTATAGTTTCTGACCACTCCTTTCACTCGTGTTTGTGGAAGGTCAATACAGTGCATCAAATCACCACCGTGGCGGAACTAACAAAGTCAGTCAGTCAATCCACTGAAGGCCGGCGGTAACTCCAGCAGCATGGATAAGAATTGTGGTCAGAGTTGTTACAACCTCAGGAAATGCTGACAAAAACAAACTCTCTATTGATGAGCTTCTCAGTCTCCAGAGTCAGCAGCTGTAAAACAGATAAAGTAAAAGATCGGATGATACTGAGTCTCGGTGGATTAACGCTGCCCCTAGATAATAATAATAAGCCTTGCATTTGAAACAGCGCCTTATCATGTCCTCAAGACATTTCAAAGCGCTTCACAGAATATACTGCGAAGTGTAGTGACTGTATTTTGTAGGCGAAAATGTGATTAATGTGTTAACTCATGTTTTGACATGTTACATGTTTTGACACAGTGATTCATCACAGCCATTTCTCTCCGCCCCCCACCCCCATGATGTGATTAACATTCAGCATTTAGACTAGAATGCAGCCGAGAAATCACTCAAGAAACAGAATAAGATAAAGGTGTTTAATCGTGTTTCTTCTAATTAAACTTAAAAAATGTTACTAATCAGTGATATAAGATCAGATTTATAAGATTATTATAATAATCTTTGCATTTGATACAGTACCATTCTTGTCTAGAAGACGTTTCAAAGCACTTCACAGTGTTTTACTGAAAAGTGTAATGATTGTGTAAGCAAAGGTGGTAACACTCAATTTGCACACAGCAGTGTCCCACAAATGGCCATAAAGTCTTGCCAAAATTTCGGCCCCTGCTGAGGTTCATAACCTCAGGAAGAACCAGGAATCGACCCTGCAACCTTTACTACTGCGAACTTGGCCATAGGAAAGGGAAATAAAGAGATGATATGAAAGCAATTATGGAATAATTAACTCTTTTGTCACATGGGTGCCTACTTTCTCATTTGGCTCTTACATTCGGGCAGCTGGTAATATAACTAACATATTTATATTAAATGGAGGATATTGCTTTGGCAGGATTTTATTATACTGTAATTGGATTTAGTTTATTCAAAAAGACTCATAAATCACCTAGATTTGTGACACTGTGATTTCAATTATTTCACAATTATGAAATAATTAAGTCAAGTAACACTATTGATGCAGTGACCTTTCAGTGAATCTCCACCTGTTTGCTGTTTATTGACTTGTAGATAGGAAAGGGCAGGATGCTGTGTTTATTTCAACAATAATCCTTACAACAACGACAACAACAATTACATTTATCTAGTGTCTTTCACGTCAGGAGGATGTCCCAAGGCGCTGGACACGGTGCTTTTGTAAAGAGCTCTGGATTATTTACAGACAGCATGGAATCAGCCAACATTGATTTGCAACATTTTGTTGGTGTGAGGTGTTTCTAAGGAAACCGTGCCTTTTCTTGAGGAAATGTAATTTACAACAATATCTATGGGCCAGTGGGCGAGGATAGCACCTGGTGCAATAGTTGGCAGTAACAAAGATTGCAAGCTTGATTCCTGGTCCTTGCAGAGCAAGAGTACCTCAGATGTAATTTACAACATAAATCCCAATATCTAACTCCCTTGATCCCATCCCCACATTGCACAGATTCCCTTGTTTGCTCCCTTGCTAGCTGACCTGATCTAATTGCCTCGCAAGCGATAGACCCGGTTTTGATTCCCAGGTGGGATGAAACATTTGGCAAGTTTCCCTACTCTACACGCCTCTGTTTATCTCGCAGTAAGAGTCCCCAACGATGTTCTCTTACTCTATGATGAGGGCTCCCTTTATATTCTTGTTCTCCTCGGCCTCTCTGCCACCTTCAACACTGTCGACCACTGCATCCTTCTTCATTGTCTCTCCTTCCCGCTCCTCCTACACGGTTCTGTTCCCTCCTGGTTTTCACCCGGTGTCTTCACTTCGTCTCTTCCAACAGCTTCTCCTCCCATTCCTGCAGTCACTTGTGGCATTTTCAAGAGCTCTATCCTCAGTTCTCTTCTTTTCACAAATACAATGCTCCCCTTTGGTGACATCATCTGTGGCATGTGGTTCACTTTCACATATCCTCCCAATGTGAAAGATGCTATACAAATGTAATTTTGTTGCTGCTGCTGTTATATGTGGGTGACACCCAACTCTATCTCTCTGCCTCTTCCCTCGATTCTAGGACCACTGCTGGTCTGACCAATTTTTCCATCAGACAGCAAGTCCTGGATAAGTTCCAACTTTCTACAACTCAATGTCGACGAGACTGAGGCTCGTGACCCCTCTCAGATTCCCATCACCCCCATCCTCACTCGACTCCATGGGTTTCCCTCCCCTAACATATTGAATCCCCATTTTAACTTTCAATGTGTCTATGGCCTTGCCTCACTATAATAATAATAATAATCCTTGCATTTTGATATAGCGCTTTTCACGTCGGGAGGACGTCCCAAAGCGCTTCACAGAACACACTGTAAAGTGAATTGACTGTATATTTGTGGGCGAACTCGGCAGCCAATTGCGCACAGCAATGTCCCACAAACAGTCGTAGATTGAAAATGACCAATTTATTATTGTTTTTTTTGGTTTTGGAGGGATTATTATTAGGCGTGTGGAGTAAGGAAACTTGCCCAAGGTTTCGCCCTGCCTGGAATTGAACTCAGGTCTCTCACTTGCAAAGCGAGTGCTCTAACCACTGAGCTACAGGACTCCACAACTCCACTACTTCTATTTGTGGGACAATATTGTGCGCAATTGGCTCCCAAATTCGCCCACGAAACATAATAATCAATTCACTTTACAGTATATTCTATGAAGTGCTTTGAGACATCTAGAAGACGTGATAAGGTGCTAAATCAAATGCAAGGATTATTATCTTTTCCACTGCAATTTTTGGCCACCTTCCTCTCTCTCCTCAGCTGCTCTGCTCCCCACCGCCCCAGCATGAGCTTCTAGACAACTATGTGAAGCACTAGCACTTTTGAGATGTCCTTCTAACTTGAAAGACGCAAAATAATTGTAAATTATAATGACCGTATTACAGTGTTTACCTGTCTGGGCTTTCCTTGTTCACTTATAAATGATCTTCCTTTCTTTCTGCCAGATCCCCAATTTCAGCAGATTACGCCAAGCTGAAGTTGCTGATATATATCAAATCAAATTATTGTTATTATTCATTACTCAACTTTGACAGTTTGGATGATGATTGCTCACAAGCCATCAAAATTAGTTAACATTGCTTGGGTTTGACTCACTGCTGAGTACTACAGTATCCAATTAGAAAGAAAGCTTTAATAACTCATTGCAGCTGACGTTAAGAGTTAGCCACTACAGGATTACTTGCGAGTTGTAATCATTGACTTCTTTCCAGGGTTATCTGGAAGAATTGGTGCGTCTCAGAGAAGCTCAGCTCGCGGAGTCTGTTGCTCAAAACAAGCTGGTTCTACAGAGGCTGGAAGAGGCTGACCTGAACCACAAACTGGAAAAGGAGCAACTGGAGTTTATTATCTTGGAGCTGCAGGACCAGCTGTAAGGAGCCCAACCATGCGAGTGTGTCTAGATCCCATTTTGGAAAGCAGCGATAGTGAGGCCTTCTCTTTTGATGCTGCATTTTACTGGGAAAATGCTGATTCTGCTCACTCAGCAGCATCCAGCCATCTGTCAGGTTTTACTTTATTGTTATGTAAACAGTGGGTTACACTTATCTGACATTTAAAGGCCAAACATTACTAATTATATGCGACATTTAAATACTAGGTGAGCTGACGAGGAAGAAGGCGGAAGAAATTTCAGGTGTTATATTGTTAAGTAGCAAAAGCGGGTCATTCTGAAGGATGGAGCTGTGCGTAAATTCTTCTAATTAATCTGAAATCATCAGTTTTAAGAGAGAGTAAAACCAGCACAAATTATTTTTGACATTTTCTGCTGCATTGATTCATAGCTACATTTGCAATTGCAATTCGTACATTTGTAATCCAAAACTGTTTTCATATATCTGTATAAATTCAATGTGTGTATGTGTACACTTGGGAAGGCAGGGACTTCCTTATTAATATGCTTAAAGACCCAACCTTTAAATGCTGAATAATTTATTATTATTATGTTTTTTTTGCTATTTTTAACTAGTTTCCTGCTCAGTCAGTGCTGAACTCATGCTCAGTAAATCACAATACTGGGCTGAGTCAGGGCTTAGTAACCCATCCAATCCCCTCTGTTTCCACAGGGCAGTTTTAAAAAATAATGATCTGAGGTCGCGGCAAGAGTTGACGGCACACCTCACCAATCAGTGGCCCTCCCCAGGAGCTCTGGATGCAGATGCCGTTGCTCTGGATACACTTCTGTACAGAAAGCGGTACGGACACTGGGATGAGTACGTTCAAATACTGCATCTACATCATAGAATCATAGAATTATACAACACAGAAGGAGGCCATTCGGCCCATTGTATCTGTGCTGGCTCTTTGAAAAGAGCTATCCAAATCAATCCCACTCCCTTGCACTCTCCCCATAGCCCTGCAAACTTGTCCTCCCCAAATAATTATCTACTTTTCTCTTAAAAGTTGTTACCGAATCAGCTTCCACCAGCCTTTCTGGCAACACATTCCAGATCCGAACAACTCACTGTGTGAAAAAATTTCTCCTCACCTCCCCTCTGTTTCTTTCAACAACTACTTAAATCGGTGTCCTCGGGTTACCAACCCACCCGCCAGTGGAAATAGTTCCTCCTTGTTCACTCTATCGAATCCCCTATTGAGTCTCCTACCTTTTCTGCTCCAAAGAGAATAATCCTAGCTTCTCTAGCCTCTCCTGATAGCTGAAGTCCCTCATTCCCGGTACCTTCCCGGTAAATCTCCTTTTCACCCACTCCAATGCCTTGACATCCTCCTAAAGTGTGGTGCCCAGAACTGAACACAGTACTCGAGCTGAGGCCTAACCAGTGTTTTATAAAGGTTCATCATAACTTCCTGACTTTTGTATTCTATGCCCCTGTTTATAAAGCCTAGTATCCCATGTGCTTTTTTAACAGCTTTATCTACCTGTCCTGCCATCTTCAAAGATTTACTTATATGACCCCCAGATCTCTCTGTTCCTTCACCCCCTTTAAGATTGTACCATCAGCTTATATTGCCTCTCCTCATTCTTCCTCCAAAATGCATCACTTTGCATTTCTCCACATTAACCTTCATCTGCCACCTGTCTGCCCATTTTATCAGTCTGTCTATGTCCATTTACAGTCTGCTACTATCCTCCTCACTGTTTACTACTTTTCCTAGCTTAGAATCATCTGGAAACTTGGAAATTGTACTCCCTATACCCGAGTCCAGTTCATTTATATAGATCAAAATCTGCCTTGTCCCCAATAGCGACCCCTGGGGGACACCAATGCACACTTCCCTCCAGTCAGAAAAACAACCGTTCACCACCACTCTCTGCTTTCTGTCTCCCAGCCAGTTCTGTATCCATCCAATCTACATTTGTAAAAGTTTTTGTATTTTTGTTAGCTCTACTTGTAGGTGTCGTTACAGGTCTCCCCAATGGATCAACAAGTTTTGATAGCGAGTTGATTCAAAGGGAATGCAAATGCCTAATTTTAGTGCTTCTGATGGGATGGCACTAGCAGCCCGAGCAACAACAAATTACATTTGTAAAGTGCCTTTCACGTCGGGAGGACATACCAAGGCACTGGACACTCAGCGCAACCTGAATTAGGGAGTGTTTCCACTTCAGAGAGCTGTTCTGTGATTTCCTGCTGATGTTGATTAAAACATCTGATTAACAATGGAGTGGAACTACGCTGTGATGCTGTCTGCCTTGGCCCCTCCACCCCCATGATCTTCCACTTCTCAGTGATTGAACGACTTGCTGATACTCGCTGTGAAAGCTCACTGATCAATAATTGTCTAGTCAATAATTGTTTTGGGGCAAGCTTCTGGAGGATGACCATATCCCAGCAGAAGGAAAAGAGAATCAATCACGTTGTGTTCAGTTGAGGAACAGAAAAATTAACACAATTTTAAAAAAAAAATCAATTGCTCCTTGTTGACAAGTGTTTTTTACATTGCTTTATTTGATTAATATATAATAATAATAATGTTTCCCAGAGTGCTAGCTTTCATTATCCTGTGTTCAAATATTTTGGGTGTTTGGTATGCGGCCAGTGAATTTGAGTCACCAAACCCATACCTAATAGTCTAGTAGATTATTCTATTTAGTAACTGGTCATCTTAGTACCAGATCCTAACCCCCAGCTCGAGTCGAAATCCCTGACTGTCCAGTGCTTTGGGACATCCTCCTGATGTGAAAGGCGCTATACACATGTAATTTGTTGTTATAGTTATTGTTGGTGGTCATTTTTAAAGAAACATTTTGATCAACAACACTTTTTTCCCCTCCAGTTGCGTTTTCCCTATTTTCTTTGTCCCTCTCAGTAACCCTCAAACTCCAAGCGTTTTGTAATCGAGAATGAATACTTCGACTTCTCCTGATGTTGTTCTGAACCATCCACTAGGAAGTGCAATTGTGAGAAATCACTGCATTTTACATTGTGTAGGAGATGATGCTGACAGTAGACTATGCTTATGAGAAGATTGTGCCTTGTTTTTAATTTGAATACATTCCACAAATGAGAAATATTGCTCTTCCCAATGTGGAGTCATATTTATCGGCCGACATCAACAAATCTTAAAATATTGATTAGAATTTTCATAGGACAGAAGAGCACACAACTCCTCACAGTCTTTATATTTTGAGACACCGGTTCAAAGGCTAAGGTTGAGCAGAATATTGAAAAATTCTTAAATTCAACCTTAATTTGGTAGCCTGGTTCCTCGAGCCTTTGTAAAAGCAACACAAAACTGGCTTCCAAATTAAAATCAAATCTGAAGAATTTTCCAAAATTCTGCACCATCTTAAATTTTACGAGAATGCTCTTCAGGTTAATACCATAAAGAATTGTGGGCCTCTGCTATCCAAATGAAGCCCCAAAATGACTAGAATTTTTGTTTATTTTCTAATTGATCGTTAATTTGTCAATGGCATAACTGCATGCAGTCGCTTTCGATCGGCACCTTCCGAACAGCTACTTAATTGACCAGTTTTAGTGAATTAATGGCAAGACATCCTCACTCTGCCACTGCATTGCATAGTACAGTGAACTAGTTAATATTGTAATAATAATAATCCACGCATTGGATGTGACGCCTTATCACGTCATTGAGACCTCTCAAAGCGCTTCACAGAATACACTGTAAAGTGGATTCACTGTAAATTTTGTGGGCGAAACGCATCAGCCAATTGTGCACATCAGTGTCTCAGAAACAGTTGTGGGTTGAGTGACCAAATTATTATTATTTTTGGAGGGATTATTAAACTATGAACTTACTTTACATTTATTATTGACCATAAGGAAATATTGACCACAAGAATCCACAAATACAATCTTTACATGAATAACAGGAAATCCAAAAAGCTTCCTCTCCATTCTCAAACTGTTTTTCTCTGTTTTATCAGGTCTACAATGGTCATTGGTAATTTGAACTTGCCTCTTGTTCCCTCCAAGCACCAAACTCGCCTTTCCTTACACTCTGTATCGTCACTGTGTTAAAAATCAAATTTTCGCCATTTGCTGGCCTACTTCATTCTTTCCCAAATCTTTAAAAATGCAGAGCATCATGTTTTGTTGGTCTTCCCTTACTCCTGCTTGACATTGTCTAACCTCTACCGTTTGATTTATTATCGCTCTGCCCTGTTCAACCTTGGTAGTGTTTTGCACTGCAAGATTCCTTTGATTAACCATTTGAGCAAGCCAACATTTTTTGCATTTGTAACACAGACTTTTTTGTAATTACTTGGTCATGAACTACAGAATAGATAAAAGAATATATAAATATTCCTTTTTTGAATTTAGCAGATAAGTAGTCTGCACTGAGTGTAATAATTAGACTGTAATTTTAACACAGAATTTGTGGAAAGTTTTTAATTTGAGCCTTAATTTGGAAGCCAATTTTCAAAGTTGATAAAAAAAAATTCAGGTTGAATAATTTTTTTTAAAAAACAATTCTGATTGTTCTTAAATTTTAAGACAGAATGGCCGAATAGGCAAAAACCCAGTGGGATTTTGGGCCTAATGTCTTGGAAAGCTTCTTGTATGGTGTTGTGATTCTTTTTATTGGCAGGCAGAGTTTTCAAAGTCTGGAGCAGCTATCAACAGAGATCAGTCTTTCTTCAACTTCATTAGATCCATTGCATTCTCAAAGAGATGGGGAAGGAAAGCAAGAACACTCGAAAAATGATGGTAAGAAATAAAAATTAAATCCTCATCTAAATCATTGCAAAGTCATCTAACATATTTTCTCTCTGACCCATGTGCACTTGAATTCAAAGCTTTGGATGCGAACTTTGTAAAGAACAAAAAAAAGTTGTTGTTTTAGCTCTAAATAGACAACTGTATGTTGAAAGATGTACTGTTTGATCAATATTGAGCACTGGACAGTCTCCACAAGCCGAGTCCAAATTAAAGCTTTTATATTTATAAATGACTAGCTGTAAAACAAGCTGAACCTATTATTTTCGAAGAATTCAGCCACAAACGTTGCCCTGTTTGGCCGGCCAGGAGTTTTGAGCACACAAAAATGTGGCTGCTGAGAACTCGCAAGACATCAGGTATTTGTTTTTCCAGCAGTTTGGGAATAGAAACAACAATAAAATTACATTTGTATAGTGCTTTTCATGTTGGGACGACCTCCCATGGCGCTGGAAATATCTTGTGGTTGGAATGGGAGGATAAAACAAAAAATTCCCTTTTTGCCAGGGTCCAGAGTCTAAATCATTGCAAAGTCATCTCCTAACATATTTTCTCTCTGACTTATGTGCACTTGAATTGAAACTGGCAATAAACCAAAGCATTTGAGACCCCAAAGTATGCTCTGGAGTTCTGCTGAAATTTTATCCAACTACAACCACAGTTAAAGTCTTCACTGCTTGTCTGGTTCAGACATTATCTTGTTGCCATTGTTTTACTGGGTTACCAAAGGACCAAATGGCAAGGAGAGGGAAACATCATCCCCTTAACTAGATAATCTGCTAAGTCTATAAGCACAGTAGTTAATGCCTAAATCAGACAGTGTACTTTCATCAGCCCTGTTGTTTTTTAACATATGTACAGAACTGATTCAATTATGTAACATTGTAGGTGTAACTTACCCATTTCACAATTAAGTTTTTTTTATTTCTTGCATTGATCAACATTATTCACTTGAATTTTGCTCACTGATTCAGTTTGATCTTTTTTAACTAGGGAAGGAGGATACTCCCTCTTTGCTTGGTCTGTGTGGATCACTGACCTCCATGGCAAGCTACAAGTCTCTCACAAGCCTCAAATCAAGTGAATGTCTCGCAAGTCCTAGTGCTGAGATCACAAGCCCTGGGCTCACCCCATCTTAAGAATGTGCAATTAGGAATCTTTTGTGTACTAGACTTAACATTCAAATCCATTGGTCAGATCCTGAGAACTAAGGTGAGACTTGACTTTAAGTCCAAATTGAGTTCTTCAAATTGAATAGAAAACCAACTGAGATGCACTTGCTTTGTGAATCCATTCTGCTTTCTGTGTCTGCGGAGGGCTTTGCCTATTTGGGCAGGATGCTTTACTATAGTGCACTATGTATAGTCTTACATGTTTGCAAGACATCATCTATTTCAACAGGATTGGCTTATGCCAAGAAGTCCAAGAGGATGTTCAAATGTACAATGAATTCTGTTTTCTTTAGGGAAAAATCTCTTATTTTATGAGAATTTTTAAAGTGGAAACATTCCTTGTTTGTGTTTATAGCTAAAATTGGCAATTTTCTCAGTGCTTCATTAGTTGCTCTATCAGGCCTTTGGAGAAAGTCTATGTTGTTCCTTAGAACATTCTGATTGCTTGAAGCAAAATAATTTCCTACAGAATGCAAGGAAAGATGGTGGTGGATTTCTGCTGTTCTGAATTATTTGACTACTTCATATAGGATTTAATGTTCTGACAAAGCTGAGGGATGTGACTGGGTTTGTGACTGCCTATGTGCCAAGTTTCTCTCTGTTAACGGAATCATGAATGAGAAGTGGCATATTTTCCATTAGTGATTTTTGCTGTTCATATCATCAATCTGTGTGCACCGACTGGGACTTGATCTCGCAATGTGGAATGGGCTGTCCCTATATTCCAAACAAGAACATGCACCGTTCTGTAACCGAGCCTATTCTGCACTGATTCAAATGAAGACCTTAACTTTCATAGTGCATTTGTTAATAAAAAGGATATGGACTCAAAGCTTCCTCTCTTTGTGGAAGAAAAAGAACAAGACATTAACTTGTATCATCTCAGTAATAATTAAATGTATATTGGAAAACAAGTTTATCAAAATAATTGTAAAATATGTTAAATGAGTGCTTGTGTGCCAATTGTTTTAAAAAAAAGTACAATGATGATAAAGCTTTGAAAGACTCTTTCTATAGGTGTGGCACATCCCTGGAGCTAATGATTGTTAAATAATCAAACGGTTCTTTTCATTAACCAGGTATGAATTTTCTAAAATATAGCATTGGAGATTTGTGTCATTTTGGTCGTCTTACATGTATGTTAATTACTATGTTGATCGATATGTGGTCTAATGTCACGGTGAATTCACACTAGTTTTACTTGGGGCTACTTTGGTTTATTCACAAGACTCCTTAACCACTTGGGGTCATAACACACATTTGGTTTACTTAAGAGCTTAATGTCTCAATTATGTGGCCCCATTTTTAACTTTTAAACATTACCACTGTGGCAGCAAGTGTTTGTTTTATGCTGTATTGAACTAGTGTTCAATGCTTGTGCTTTGTACATATGCATGATGAAATTTTCTTCCAGCATCAACCTATGTACATCAGGTCTTAAGTAAATACCAAAATCCAATGTCAAACTTCCTTTGTGTGCGTGTGCGAGCATGTGTTTTGCTGTTCATTTTTGTCTTGATGTAAATGATTTATCATGTGAACGTCTTCAATAACTGCATGTGTAATAAAGTGAAAAACAATAGATTCTGCAATTGAGATATTTAATTAAAAATCTTGAAGTTTCAGGTGCAACATGAATAAAGCGCGACTGACTTTATTATTACTTCAAAGTGTGATAAGTGGACTTTTTTTTAATTGGTCCCTGTCAGAAGCTGGCACTCCAGTACAGTACCGGGGAAGGACTGTGTTAATGCACTTGTGGTCATTCAGTTGAAACATGAAACAGGTCTTGTCTCTCTGTTTGGGTGGTTGTAAAAGATCCCATGACACAATTCAAAAATAGTAGTCTTAGTAATCAAAAGTACAATCTTCCAAATAAATTGGTGCGTTGACTGTCTGGAGCACCTCGGTAAAACACAAAACAATTACATTTGACAGTAATTACTGTAAAGCCTTGAAAGTCTAAGTTCCTTCTATATACAGGGTCAAGGCGTAGAGCAGAAATCTACTAAGGTTGTAAACAAGAAAATAGACATGCCCCCTAGGTCTAAATTTACTCTCATTTTCTTGGCATTTTTAAAAATCCAATTTCTTACTCTTATTTTGAATGCAAGTTATTTTAACTACAAAAAACTGACTTCAAAGTTAAGACTGAATTCAGGGATTTTCCAAATTCTGTACTTTGAAATGCTAGCAAACCAGTAAATCTAGACCTGGGTGGAATTTCTTTCCTGTAGAAATAAAGCAAGAACTTAAGACCCAAACTTGAGTTTCAAAAGCTTATAGATTTCACTCATTGAGTTGTTAGATAACAAAACAATCCTTGCATTTGATATAGCATCTTATTACGTCTTCTAGATGTCTCAAAGCGCTTCACAGAATATACTGTATTTGACTGTTTATTTTGTGGGTGAAACATAGCCGACAATTGCACAAAGCAGTGTCCCACAAATAGTTATGAATTGAAGTGACCAATTTTCTTTTGAAGGAATTATTACACCCAGAAAAGCGATCCATCAATCGATTAACAACTGGGTTCCTGTTTACTGCTGGGTAAACAGAAGGGTGTGGAATAAGGAAACTTGCCCAACATTTCACCCTGCAACCCTGTTAAGTGTACACAGCATCGGTGGCCTACTTTATTAAAACCTATAATCCTCTCCCAAGTGCAGTCGGTTTGCAATAAGAACATAATCTTTGTTTCTCTAGTATGCATGGGAACTTGTTTTGTGTAAATTGTCCAGACACAAGAGGGAATCACATTTTGCACACTTATATTAGGACTGAAATATAACATCTAAAATATCTACAGCCCACCCGTTCTCAAATCTGAATGAGTGGCTCTTGTTAGAGGTTTAAATTTGTAATTTAACTTGAAATTTTGCAAAACAGTTGATCAAGTAACAGCATACTATTAAAACACAACTTTATTAAGGCAATTGTTATAATACAGTACAAGGTGTACTTAACAGTACATACAATTTGTACTATCAAATTGAAAACTACAAGTTATATGAAACATTTAATGAGTAATGGTCAGAAATATATTAAGTCTCTCTCTTTAAAGGGCCTTCAAACGTCCATGAATAAATTGGCCATGTGTACTAAGTTGTGGTTTTGGTGTACTGACCTATAAGAGGGTTCAAATGGATGTTAAGACATTTTCCTATTGAAAAGACAATAGAAACCACTTATCATCCATTTTCTAGTGGCAAGTTTTACTGCAGAATTATCTCCATGCTTTCTTGCTCAGTGAATAAATGATTCATGCAACTTGAGGGACTCGGTGAAGGAAATATATTAGAAAATGGGCACTATGAACAATTCAAGGCAGGAACAATGGACACCTATATGTCCCGGGAATTTTTTAGAACTTCTCTAAAACTCAATTCCTTTGCATTTCAATAAATCCTAGAACACCCATCTAATCCCAAGAACTGAAGGACAAACTCCATCTCAAATGAGGATGTTAAAAACATCAACACTTTCTAGACATACTCAATAGGTAACTTATGCACGTATTCTATGGCCAGGCCTACATAAAAGCAATATACGAGACTAACATGAAAAATGTTAAATTGTTTTGTTCATAAAAAACAGCCAGAACAATTGAGAACTTTTTGAAATGTAGTTGAATAATTTCACATTTAACATATATGTTAATATATAAAACTACGAGGCAACCCATGTATACTGTACTAATCAACATGAGTCAGGAATGTTACTTACATTGACATCCAATGCAATATACTGAACGTGGCAGTTGCTTTCTCTCTTTCATCATACATTTTGTAACATAAGCAATTACAGTTAAGATTTCAAAATTTAAGCTGGGTTGTTGGCCAATTTGTTGATGAAGGACATTTCCAAAAAATTATACAGTTTCAAATAATCTAGCTGGTCACCAAACAATAACTATCTAAATCAAATTAGAATTTTTTGTCAATTGCTTCTGAACCCAAAATATGCAAACACTAATGATTTTTTTTAAAAAAGAGGAAAAGAGTGGTTAGGAGCAAAAAAAAACTTATAATTGTTCAGGCACAAATAGCTTAATAACAATGAGAAGTAAAATACAAAATAAATTGCTTTATAGATTTCTTATAATCACCTGTAGTTTCATTGAGCTCACTTTCACATTAACAACCTCATTTAAAATGAAGTGGAATAGCTGTACTTAATTGTTTGATGAACAGTTAAAGAGAAAAACAGAAGTCCCTGGGAACACTCAGCAGGTCAGGCAGCATCTATGGAGAAAGGAAAGTGAGTCAACATTTCAGTTCTATGACTCTTCGTCAGAACTGGACGAAGAGTTGTGGATCCGAAATGTTGACTCACTTTCCTTTCTCCATAGATGCTGCCTGACCCGCTGAGTGTTCCCAGGGACTTCTGTTTTTGTTTTCAGATTTCCAGCATCTGCAGATTTTGTGTTTAGTTAAAGAGAAAACTTTGATAGTCATACTTTAAAGTACTGTTAAGTTTTCTTGTGTAATGGAATTAAGGAATAAATAATTTAAATGGTTGGCAGTAAAACATTTGCAAATATTCAAACAAGTACACTTGTAAATGTAGCATCTTCATTGTGGAATCCCGATTGAAACATTAGTAAATTATCTTGGGACACATGGGATGTAACTGCTTTTTTAAAAAAAAACTGCAGTTCTTTGTCTTGCTAATGGTTATTTGAACTGCGAATCTTTAACTCAAAAATAGGACTGAAATGCTTTAACAGAAAGTTTCACCCACAAAATATACTGTCAATCCACTTTACAATATATTCTGTGAGGCACTTTGAAATGTCTCAGTGAAGAGATAAGGTGCTATATCAAATGCAAAGATTATTATTAAACCTAAAAAGCAATTTGCTTTAAATGGACTTCATCTTCTGATAAGCCTAGTTATGAGATGAAACGTTCATCAAAACTTTATTTTAAAAAAAACAGATTTTGCAGATACAAAGAGAAGCAATCAGTGGATGCAAATAAATAGGTTAAGAAATATCTGGACTCTGAAGTCATTAAAACCTTTCCCAACAACAGGGCTCATATAATAATCCTTGCATTTGAAATAGCACCTTATTAGGTTGTTGAGATGCCTCAAAGTGCTTTGCAGAATACACTCTGAAATAAATTGACTGTATATTTTGTGGGAGAAACGTGGCAGCCAATTGCGCACTGCACTGTCTGACAAGCAGTGGTGGATTGAGTGACCAAATTATAATTTTTAAAAATATTATTACAAAGCCCTTCCCAAAAAATACAATACCTAGCATGAATTAAAACAGTAGCAGAGAATTAGTATTATTAAAGACAGAGTACAGGAGAGCCCATACCCCTTAATGTAGGTGTAAAATGGCTCAGACACACATTATTTCTGTTTGTAACCAAAGTACAATATTTTATAAAGTCATCTGAATTATAAGCAGGGTTACGTATGGCTAATATTGAAATCCTCCCCAGGGCTCAGCACGCCATCAATAGCTTGATTTATTTCTGCTTTGATTTCGAAAGGGTGAGTAGGAGTAGACGGATAGGATGGGAAACAAGAGGGTGGGATCTCTGCAATTCGTTTTCCTCCAGACTCTTGATTTAGAAGGACATAACAACGGTCTACGGTTTACTCCTTAAGTACATCGTTTTATATAAGTATATTGCACACTCTCTTTATGCTAATATGACATCTCCACTTCTAATAGCAGTTATCCTTGTGGCTTCCAAACTTCAAAATTATCACGGTAATTTTACTTTTCTGAATGAAATATTACTAGAATGAATTGTTTTACACTTTTCTACCCATTGATCTTTTTCAGTGGAAGATTTTTAAAATCTTCTTTGCTAAATATCAGAAGAGGTACATTTACGTGAATACGACGTGGTCTACTACAAGGTACAATCGAGGCTTAACAAAGGAGGCCTAGGATCTACATGTCAGTCTGTTTCCTCCACAGAAGCTTGTTCTATGACATAGGTGTATTTTGTTTACATAAAATTTACACAAGCAGCTGAATGCAGTTTGCAACATAAAACTCGTTCTGTGTTCCCACAATACTTGCTTTTACACAATAGCTTCCACATCCAGCTTCAGAAATTGTGCTTGCCAAGGTTTCCACTTTACAGCACCTGTTTTACTGTCCTGTTGCTCTGATAATTGCAAATAAAGTACAATAGTTCTCTTATCCACTTGAAGATGTCAGTCAATTCTCTCACCTCCAGAGTACTCTCCATCTTCTGAAACAGTGCTTGCACTAACTCAGTTGAAATGCCACCTAAACAATAGTTTGCTCTCCATGGCTCTATTCTGCATCAAGAGAACACGACTGACCTAAAACCTCCAGTACCTCAATTCCTTCCCACCAAAGGTACACATCTTATGGATAAATAGCTATAATATTTATTATAATAATCTGCAAAATTTAGCCAAGGACAGAGTGGAAGGTATGAGAAAATCATTGAAAGCAAAGCAAACAAAATCACCCCTCACAGATGCATCTTTCTCCCAAGATAGTTCAACCAGTGTGATATTAAAAAGACATTTATTTTAAAAATAATAAAAGCAGCTATTTTACTGGACACCCAACAAGTCACAACATTTCAACATAAACTGCAAAAGTGCAACAAATTATTTGTTTTAGAAATTAGTAGATGAAATGTTCAAATAAAGGATTCAAAACTGTTCAACAATTTGACAACTCCATTTTATGTCTACAATTTTTATGTTTTCTCTGTACCAGTGGTAGAATTTGTCGTTCTTATAACACTTTAAATTGCTAGAGCTCCATTTTGATCACCTGCTCCTTTTTAGATGTACTCCCAACAACATCAATGCAAACCTTTTCTTGATGTGGATTCATAACTTTACAAAATCAACGTAAGAAGTGATCTTCTAAACCAAGACAATAACAACAGTACAAACTGGTACTAGAGGTAAATGTTATCTCTTTCATTTGTCTATCAGATAAGTTTTTACATTTCTATAGCTTCGACATCCTTTCAATCTGAATTACAACTGCGACATTTTGCAGTACGAACATGCTCTGGAAACAGAGCTTAAACAGATTTCTTAATAGCAATATTTGTGCCAGCTCTTTAGACTTCCAATGCCATAATTCCTTTTATTTCAATGGATAAATCATCTACCAAGATTTTCTTCTGCATTTGAAAGAATATTATGGCAAGAACCTAGTTTTCAAGGGCTTGTTTTCCTTTAAGAGTCATCCAGTATGGATTTCTTCAGGTTTTAACCTTTTCCAGCTCTCGCTCTTTGTTCACTTTACGGAAAAAGGACTTGCCAAATTCATAGGAACTGATCATTATTGCACAGGCTGGGGCTACCTTCATTAATCGAGGGAAGAAACCTGAAGAAGAATAAAGTAGGAAAACAATTTAGCCCCAAGACAAACAATGCTCTCTCAATGAGAAATCGCTTACACCTTTAATTTTACAATCTATGAAGCACATATCTATCACTTTAGATTAAACCCAAACCTGGAAACAGCATTCTAGACATGTGCTTTGAAATGGTTTTACTTTGGCAAAAAATAGTTTAACTACTTAATTTCAACTAACTTTCCTGATTGTCATTGAATGCAGATGATTGGGAAACACTGTGACCAGAGACTGGACCAACATTTGCATTTTAGATCACTTCTTTGATTTTAATAACTGCTTGGGTAGTGAACAAGGCACTCAGAGGAGAAAATGGATCTTAAGAGTGAAATAAATAAAATGTACCCTGTTGTACTCAGAAGCCATATGGTACATGTTTAATTTATACTGAAGCCATAGTATAAAGGCAGTTAGGGTGACTTTGAGTACAACAGAAGGCTTCTGAAGAGAGCATAATTTCTATACACAAAACAATCCACGTATCCAGGTGCTATTCTAATGATGGATCAGTCACAGCACGTGTCTAGATTGATGTTAATGGGTTTGGCTCAAATGGGTTAATGGGTTTGGCTCTGCTGATTTAAAACATACAGCAGTCTGCATTCACATATCCACCGGCATCAACATTATTTTAACCCCATGTTAGTACACTGAAGCAGCACCAAAATTGGAAATGGCCGCTCCATGAGCAACTTACTGGAGGATCAAATATCCACAATTTAAACTAGCTGTTAATAAAATGTTTTAAAAGAAGAAATTGTAATAAATAACTCCCAACTTTTCTGCAAGAGCTCAATATAAACTTTGCTTCAGGAACTTTATTCGTTAGCTAATGTATTCATTCTGTACGTAGTTGAAAATGCTCAGCGAGTGCTTCAGGAAGCTCATGATTGGACTCACCAACAAATAAACCTGAATATCCAGATTCCTTAACGATTTGACTCATTATTACCCAGGTAGACATAGATGTTTTTGGTTCTTAAAAAGAAAATCAATCATTACAAAACTTCTAGATGATTGCACAGCATTGGACTTGACAATTATTTCTTCCTACAATTCTATACCAACAATTGATAATTTTTATCAATGTACATAATGATTATTACAGTAAAGTTCTGTTCTTTAAAGATAAATGTTTCTCATTTGTGAGACAAGAGAAATGCACACAAAGCGAGTACAGTACTTCACAAACTGAACGCTCAATTGGTAAAGTCTCAAATGGAACAGCAGTAAGAACAAGAGTAGCCAAAGTGAGAATGTCCATGTGTGTAGATGTTGACAAGTACAAGAGCATGCTTGTAGTAACCCTCTTCCCCCCATGGTCCTACGGACGACTAACACCCATTTATAACAACAACTTTACTTTTATCTAGCGCCTTTCACAAGGTACTGGACAGTCCAGGCTTTGCACTAGGCGGGTGGGCGGGGGGGAAAGAGCCAAAGGGGCTACTTGCTCAAGTTACATTTGTTTGAATAAATGAATAGCCCGTTTGTTATATGTATAGCTAAATGCTAAATATTAGCTATAAATATCTTTAAAAAGCTATATATGTTTAATATATAAAAATACAAATATACATACTGTGAAAAGCTATACATTTTTAAATAACTTTATTAAATGTAATTTTAGCTAAAACTAAATAATTTAAAAAATCTAATTTTTCTTTGATTATCTTTCAGAGCTAATTATTTTAAGTAAGATTTTAGAAATCTGTATAAATTTCACACCACATATAGTTCTAAATAATGAGTTTCAAAAGAAACATTTAAGAAATTACAAGTCATAGAATCACAGAATTATACAGCACAGAAGGAGGCCATTCGGCCCATCGTGCCTGTGAAAGTCAAATTTCAAAAACAGAGAACATACGAGTTAATGCTTCCAGCTCTCCAAGTGCAATCTGCCGTCGTGTTTTCACGACATCAAATGGTAGGGTGATGGTAGCTGCAATCTGAAAAGAGATTACAATTTACATTTACGTAGCCACTGTCATGTCAATAAGTCATCTCAAAACATTTCACATCTGGGCACCTGAGCTTGGGAGGGGGAGAGGAGAAGAAAGGGAACCGAGGAGGGTTTGGGGGTAAAGACTGAAAATGACCAAACCAAAAGCTCGGTTGAAAAGATAGGTCGCAAGGTGAAATTTAAATTGGGGAAATGGGCAAGACACAGGGAATCTGGGATGGAGTTCCAGCGAGCAGAGCTGGGATCGCTGAAAGCTCGCCCACCAATGGTGAGCGGATTGGGTGAGGAATACAAATCAAGCTATTGTTAGATGAGGGGGTGTATGAGATTGCAAAGTTAGGGGTGAATCCATGGAGGGGATTTAAATGCGAAGACAAGGATCTTAAATTCAAACTGTTTACAGGATGGGAAGACAGTGGAGCTGCATGAGGGCAAGGGCACGATAGGATGAAAGCGTCTGATGTGGGAGAGGACATGGCCTACAGTTCTGGTCGGTTTGCAACTTGTGTAGGAAAGTGCTTTATTAAAAAAAGCTGATGTACAAGAGGTTACGACAGAAGGCAATAATTGAATTTTAATTTGATTAGCATGGTCTCATACTCTATTAAACACAGCAATTTCTTTATGGTTGGGAGGATGGAATGATCTAGTGTGGAAAGTGGTGAACATTGTTTTTTTNATAATGTTAGACAAGATATTCTGGAATTTCACAATAGAACTAGGAGAAAAAAAATTATAATAATAATCCTTGCATTTGATATAGCGCTTTTCACGTCGGGAGGACGTCCCAAAGCGCTTCACAGAACACACTGTAAAGTGAATTGACTGTATATTTGTGGGTGAACGTGGCAGCCAATTGCGCACAGCAATGTCCCACAAATAGTCGTAGATTGAAAATGACCAATTTATTATTGTTTTTGGTTTTGGAGGGATTATTATTAGGCGTGTGGAGTAAGGAAACTTGCACAAGGTTTCGCCCTGCCTGGAATTGAACTCAGGTCTCTCACTTGCAAAGCGAATGCTCTAACCACTGAGCTACAGGTCTCCACGGCTTTACCTTCAAGAGATAAGCTAGGTAAAACCCATGATGAGGCAAATTGTATAAAGCCTCCACAAAAAGCATGCTTTTCCTCATTCTAGTTTTTCTTATGTAACATTTTATCTAATAAGATTTACATTTCGTATAGTGCTTTTCATGTCAGGAGGATGTCCTAAAGCGCTTCATAGGATATACTGTATTGGAGTGACTATGATTTGAGGGTAAATGCAGCAGCTAATTTGTACACATAAAGTCCTACAAACAGCCATGAAGTGAATGACCACATTTTATTTGGGGATTGTTGACGAGGACACTGGGAGAAAGTCCCTTCTCTTTCGAATAGTGCTACATTTTAACATACGCCTGAACAGGCACAGAGGGCCTGGATTTAACATCTCATCCAAAGGATGGTATCTCCCAACAATGCAGCATCTTCCCCCCCCACCCAGCATTCCATTGGAGCGGAAACAGACAATTTGGGTGGCAAGTCCTAACATGGGGCTTGAATTCATAACCTTTTGACCCAGAGGAAAAAATGCTGCCAATTGAGCCATTCTGATTTATAACAGGCACTTTAAAAATCAAACTTGACTTTCTTATTAAGTCCTACTGCACTAATAAATCATCTTGAGCCAGAGGTGCATTTGTTTCTAAAAAAAGCTGTAATTCAATTGAAATTTAGAAAAACCTGAATGTTTAAGGAAAAGTCATTATTATAATACACTGGAGCCATCAAACAATTTTAACTTGTACACAAATATGAGCAAAAAACAATTTACATTTATACAATTAAGATGTCCTCCTGATGTGAAAGGTACAATATAAATGTAAATCTTTATTTTATTGTACTACTAGCATTAATATATTAAAATGTGCCCATAAAACACTTTACAATATATCCTGTGAACCTCTCTGAGATGTCGCAACAACGTGTTAAGGTGCTATATCAAATACAAGGATCATTTTTATTATTAAATATTGATTACAATTATTCTACAATAAAATAACATTAATAATTATTATGATTCAGTGCCTTGGGATGTCCTCCCGACGTGAAAGGCGCTATACAAATGTGATTTTTATGAATTTCTGGTTCAAATGAACTACTTAAAATCACCTAACAGCAGAAGGTTCCGTTACTAGAAACTTACAGAGCCTGATGCTGCTCCAGAAGCAAAACTTATCATGAAGGTTGGCTCACTTAGATTGCGCTTCTTGCACAACGCATTCTTCATCAGTTCATAGTTAAACCAGTAAGTTGCTGTGGGGACAGACAGTGGAAGTAAAAGTCTGCCGCATGGCTTTCCATTTGCAGCAGTACAGCTTCTCATTACTAACCAATAATGCTTCAACAAGACCCGAAAGATAGAGTGCAAGGGGAAGGGTTAATTTTGTTTCAGTAACTGCAGTTTTAAAAACAGTAAATTTTCAGGCAAGATGAAAGAATACGTTTTGAGCAAACACAGATGATAACAATGCCAACTTGCATGTACACAGCGCCCTTCCCATGGGGTAGCGTCTTGGAGCATTTAACAAAGGCAGAACCTGATGCCAAGCGGGGGAGAGAAGAGGTGGTCCTAAGCACAATCGAACAGGAAGGTCTTCAGGTGTAATCTAAAAAGAGGATAGGACGGGGCAAAGCAGAGGCATTGAAGGAGAGAGCTCCAAAGTTTTGGGGCGTACTGGGTGAAAGCACAGCCAACAATGGTGGAGAGGGGAGGGATAATCAGGAGGCCAGAGCCAGCCGAGTGGAGGTGGTGGGTGGTGGAGTGGGGAAAAAGAAGGTCAAAAAGGTAGAGAGGTGCCAGGGTGTGAAGGGATTTGTAATGAGTGTGAGGATACACACTCGTTTGCAGCTTTTTAAACAGGACTGTTCCAATAGATAATAATTGTAAGATGGTTCTGGGGTTGTTCTAGTTTTGGAGTGAATAGACAGGTCTTTCTTACAATTCTTACATTTTTCCCAGTAGCTCACGGGTTCTGCTAAATTTAGTACAAATATTCAAACAAAATTTGGCACACATTAATTGTGCTATTTTAAATTGAAAATAATTTACATTTCAGAAGTACAAGTAATCAGTTAACTGCAGTTGCGTATCAAACGTTGAACAGTAAACTCCTAATAACTCATCATTCCGAGGGTAAACTGCTCAGTGATGAGTTATGAGGAGTGGTGAGTTAAGCGTATGTATAAAAACATAAATAAATGCAGCCGGGATGCTGACAGCACAATGACAAATTAAACCAGAGTCGTGTTATCAGGAATTTATTTTGTTACAAGATTTCAGCAGTTTGGGGAAAATAGCTGAATGGGAAACATTTGTATTGAAATGTTAACCTTGCATATATTACCGATTAAACGATAATCTGTGTTATAATGAGAATCCATTGTATTACATTAATTGAACGGCTTCAAAAACGCCCCAATACTTATTTTATTTAAACCTTTGCATTTCTGTAAAAATGCAATGATTATTATTATTTGTTTTCAAAGAGAATATTAACTATCAGAAGAATATTAAATAGTTGGGGAGCGAGTGGAAGAGTAGGACTAGGCTGGATGACTCATGTGGAGAAAAAACACCAGCACACAGGTGATAATCCGTTTCTGCATTGTAACCTTTCACATTTTATAGAGTAAATTTGTTTGCAAGGTTTCATATTTTCTGATTTCAAGTTATTCTAAAATCCCACTAATATAAAAAAAATCCATTGCTCCATATATTAATACAATACTTCTTTTTAAAATTATAAATCTGAACAGGAATTCTCAATAAACATGAGAAATGGAACAATGTCAACTGATCAGACTGGAGGGAAATTTTAAAGTGTGGATTTAAAAATTACTCGGTAGCAACAGCATTTTTGAGATGGAATCATTCCAATAACCTTCAGAATGAATGAATGGGATTGAACTGTACATACATTGGCCTGAAAATATTTAAATTCAACATTTTTGTACTTTTGCAGTAAATCGTGTCATTATCTTCAAGTTCAATTTGTGAATAAAGCAGGCCTTCGAGTTTCTACCATCCCCTGGTCTGAAGCTGACAGTCAGCAGTGGTTCAGATCCTGCTCAACAGGATCTTTACATTAAGACCAGCCAACTAACTATTTCTTTTAATAGTCTAGATCCAGTGAAATGGATTAAAGGTAAAATGAAAATTTAAATTTTGTGGATTTTCAGTATTATGGAGCCACTTATTTTAGCACAACTGACCCATTCAGTTAATACGCGAGTATCTATTAGAATTAGACTTTTTTGTATTCCAAGATACTTTAAACAAAAAATAAAGTTAAGTTGCTAATTTTATCATTACTGTGCAGACCTTTGCTGGTAAAGCGCACAGATGTTCTATTAAAACACATGACTGACCTGAGAAAGGCACATCTCGAAGTACTGTGGGACCCCACCCCCTCCAGAGGGAGAGCCAGCCATCCTGCCGTACAGCAATCCGAACAACAGTACCTAGTTGCTTATATGTCAGTTTACGAGATTGCAATTTTGTCCTCATCAGCTCCAATGGACTTATAACAGACACTGCACCCACTGAAACAAACAACAACAAATTGCATTTATTATAGCATCTTTCATGTCAGGAGGATGTCCCAATGCCCTGAAACATAAGAAACAAAATGTGTTCAGTTCTTAAAGCAGTACCATATCTGTCCGAGCTGCGGACAGGAAGATGGTGGCAATCCTCTCATGCATATCACGCTGGGGTGTGTTGCCAACCAGAAAATTTGGAGTGAGTTCCTGGTAGTTACCATCCTCTTAGTGAGGGCTCAAAACCGTGCTTGTCAGATGCCAAATGACCAACTACTGACTATCCTCCTGATGGGGGGGGAAGTATGTAGATATTAAAGAGGACAGAGCCCTGAGGCACGTCACAAGTGACGTTGGGAGGACGTCGCAGGGGTAATAATGAAACAGGCAAGGATAAAAACGTGAAGGTGGAATTGAGAAGATGATGGAGAAGAATAGAATGGTCAACAATATTGAAGGGGGCAGAGAGGAGGAGTTCATACAGGAAGAGGAAAGAGCGAAGCCGGGAAGCAGTTACTCATCCAGTCTTGTTCCTTGGAGAGGAAAGGGAGGTTGGAGGTGGCACAATCAGGGTAAAGGGATAGGTCAAGGGAAAAAATTTTGCGGAAGAGGGCTGTTTTGAAGGGATGGGAATTGGCTGGTGGACAAAAAGAGTTACGATGTCTGCAAGCAGGGTGGCAAGGAGGTGGAGGTTTACAACCTTACCAACCTGCTCAGTTAATTCTGTTCTAGCTTTCTGAAGTTCTCAAAATAAATGTAAAAGCAGTAAAATCTTCTCTGCAGCAGACTTCTTATAGTTTCCTAACCTTTCCAATGGTGCCACCTTGTGGCATTTCCTTTGCTAAATTCCTATTATCCTGAACTATACACTAACTGGGTGACTCTCACAATCCTCTGCCAATGGTTCTCTGAGTCGCCAATATGAAGTATATAGGAAAGGGGGTAAGGAAATCTCCCTTTTGGGAAGCCAAATCTCTATAAGGCTGGAAATTCCACAGAATTGAAATTCAGCATCAGGAAAGTAGAAACATAATAATAATGCTTGCATTTGGTATAGTGCCATTCATGTCAGAAGTCCCAAAGTACTTCACAGGAATCGAATGACTACATTTTTATAGACAAACACGACAGCTCAATTGTGCACAGCAATATCCCACAATCAGCCATATAATAAATGACCAATTTTATTGGGGGATTGTTGGCCAGGATATAGGAAGGAACTCCCTCTCTTTTCAAATAGTGCAATGGCATCTTTAACATCCACTTAACAGGCAGACAGGATCTTGGCTTAACAACTCATCTCAGCACTCCTAGAAGGGTGCTATGTAAGTTCAAGTCGTTGTTGTTGTTGCTGGGTTTGTGCATGCAGCAGACATAAAACTGACCCCAAAAAACCTTGGTTTTGATTAAAAACTTGTTATGAACAATTACCTAGTTTAACAAGTAAACACATCTTAATTGCCTACCACCTTTTTACCCTATTACATGTTGTATTGTATGATGTATAATTATTGTGCAGGTCACTTCTCTATTCACTGAGTCATGGCTTGTTGCTTGAGTTAATATTTAACACTTTACCCCTCTTGGGAAGAGAAAGTTAGGGAATGTAATTGAGAAAGTATAGGTTAGTTTATCCCATCACTCACATAGCAATTGAATCAATTATATTAAAAACAGGAAGAAATCTAATGAATTGTGACATCTGTAGATCCTGTTTCCTATAGGGTAATAATAATCATAGAATTATACAGCACAGAAGGAGGCCATTCGGCCCATCGTGCCTGTGTCGACTCTTTGAAAAGAGCTATCCAATTCAATCCCACACCCCGTGCTCTCCCCATAGCCCGGCAAACTTGTTCTCCCAAAATAATTATCTACTTCTCTCTTAAAAGTTGTTATCGAATTGGCTTCCACCCCCTTTCAGGCAATGCATTCCAGATCTGAACAACTCTCCGTGTGAAATAATTTCTCCTCACCTCCCCTGTTTCTTTCAACAACTATTTAAATCAGTGTCCTTGGGTTACCAACCTACCGGTGGAAATAATTTCTCCTTGTTCATCCTATCAAATCCCCTCATAATTTTGAAAACTTCTATTGAGTCTCCTCTTAACCCTCTCTTCTCCAAAGAGAATAATCCTAGCTTCTCTAGTCTCTCCTGATAGCTGAAGTCCCTCATTCCCGGTATCATCCTGGAAATCTCCTTTACTCCTAAATCTCCTAAAGATTCTTCATAATTTCCTGACTTTTATATTCTATGTTCCTATTTATAAAGCCTAGTATCCCATAAGCTTTTTTATTAAAAAAAACAGCTTTATCTACCTGTCCTGCCATCTTCAAAGATTTACTTATATGACCCCCAGATCTCTCTGTTCCTTCACCCCCTTTAAGATTGTACCATCGGCTTATATTGCCTCTCCTCATTCTTCCTCCAAAATGCATCACTTTGCATTTCTCCACATTAAACTTCATCTGCCACCTGTCTGCCCATTTTACCAGTCTGTCTATGTTCATTTACAGTCTGCTACCATCCTCCTCACTGTTTACTACTTTTCCTAGCTTAGAATCATCTGCAAACTTGGAAATTGTACTCCCTATACCCACATCCAGGTCATTTATATAGATCAAAAACAGCAGTTGTCCCAATACTGACCCGTAGGGGACATCACTGCACACTTCCCTCCAGTCAGAAAAACAACTGTTCACCACCACTCTCTGCTTTCTGTCTCCCAGCCAGTTCGGTATCTATGCTGCCACTGTCCCTTTAATACCATGAGCTTCCATTTTGCTTAGAAGTCTCTTATGTGGCACTTTATCAAACGCCTTTTTGAAAATCCATATAAACAACATCAACTGCACTACCTTCAACCACCCTCTCCGTTACTTCATCAAAAAACTCTATCAGGTTTGTTAGACATGATTTGATTTGATACCTAGACTATATGAGGCAACTCTCCACATGGGTATCATTGAAATCAAGAAGTTACTGTGTGGTGAATGAAGCAAGACCCTGTTCAGAAGTGCTGCCTTTGTCAAAAACGTAAGCAAGCACTGGCTAAGCACGAACACTATAACCCACTAAAGGCCTAAACATTATTTGGCTGGTAGAGTAATCAATATAATTTGGAGAATATTTTTGCCACTATGCAAACTTACTCCTGAAATTAAATAAGCATATTTTAAAACTGTTCAAACGTCAAATATACCTAATTAATAGTTATCTCCCCAACTTCAATGTTTTTAAAGCAGGGAATGCTGTGCATTTTACAGCAGAATTATAAGACACATGGAAATACCAAAGCGGGTACAAATACTTTAAACGCAATCAGTGGAAGCTTATGTAGTGGAAATGGCCCTTGAAGTCTTAGAAACAATAAATGGCTAACTGCATATCTTATCAGCAGCCAATGTTGGTAACTAATTATGACAACCCACTACAAATTCTAAGAAAACAGTTTGTAATAAGTAAATAATGCAGCAGACATAAAACTGACCTTTGAAATAGTTTGAAATGTCAAAATAGGGCTATTCTAAAACCTTGAGAAAGGAGGTATGATATAAATCTGAAAATAAATTATTTCTAACACATTGGCACAGTTGTTTGAAAGTGAGGGAACATACACACAAGCCCATCAAATCTGAGCAGAATTGCAACATCTTCACTGCAATGGTCCATTTGTTAAGAAAAATTCTAGGGCTATACATTAAAAGCCTACTACAAACATCTTGTCCATGGAATCTTTAACTAAATTAATTCAAATGTGGTTTCCAGCATTTTGGACCTGTGGAATAAATCTGATTGCATCTCTGATTTTGTAATCTGAAAGCAGCCCCAGGCCCATTTGCAAGGGCAGCAGATCCACAAAAAAATGACAGCTTCTGTAGCCAGCTATCCACTGGTACCACCAACCACCTCACCTAAGGCAGCGCCCACTATTAATGAGTAAGAGCAGGGGCAAGCTGTCTCCTTCTACCTCAACAAGCAACACTGTCAGCCTTCAGTTGTGCCAGAAGAGCATCATCAAGGAATAGCAGCTTTGTTGAGGTAGAAGGAGACAGCTTGCCCCCTGCTCTTACGCACTGCCTTAGATGAGGTAGTTGGTGGTACCAGTGGGTAGCTGATTACAGAAGCCTCCATCTTGTTTATGGATCTGCTGCCCTTCAAATGAATGCATTAGCACCTTTTACTTTGGCCAAGATAATGGCTTTGATGTGGTCGAGAAGGAACAACACCACTTTGGGCCCCTAGGAGTTGAAAAGGATATTAAATGGAGCTAGAAAGAGCTCCATTTAATATAAGCATTACTAAAGCTTGAACATAAGGAGCCATGCTTCTATATATTATTTCTTGCTGTGTTTTGCTGATTTTTTTTAAACAATAGATATAATTGTCCATGAACTTATTTACTACATTTACTTTGCTGTGTAGTGACAAAGGAGTTGCTGATTTGATGACTTTTGTGCACTGAGACAATTCTACCACCAATCAGTACTATCTTAATTTACTCAAACTGAATATTTTTTGACCTACAATATTATGATGTCTTGTCATACGTTAATCCTGCACTATTAATTAGGTAGTGGCTTTATTAATAAAGGTCAGATCACCCCTAGAGAACATTAATAGTTGACGTCACAACATTTACTTTAAGAATCAATCCAATTAAAGCTCATTGAAGAGCAGACAACTATCTTTCTATTTACAGCTTTAGTAACTTTTCACCATTCATTCCGCAGATGTCAACAGGTGTGGAGGGGCTGCATGAAGGACAAGAAGGCACCAGAGTGTCAATTCATTGCCTTACAGTACATGTCATTAACATAATATACAGTAAAAGTCCTTGCATTTGATATAGCGCCTTATCCCGTGGTTAAGACATCTCAAACCACTTCACAGAATATACTGTAAACTGAATTGACTATTTTGTGGGCAGCCAATCGCGCACAGCAGTGTCCCACAAACAATCGTGGATTGAGTGACCAATTTTTTTTTGAGGGATAGCAATCCGCCAATCGACTAACAAACAGGTTCCGACTTACTGTTAGGTAAACAGAGGGGTGTGGAGTAAGGAAACTTACCTAAGGTTTTGTATCACCAGGTAATTAAACCCAGGTCCTCTCACTTGCAAAGTGAGCGCACTAACCACTACATATTAATTTCCAGGTGAACTCGACGAATGGTTTCCAGTCTTCCGTGGCCACCTTCTCTTTTGTAAATGCTATTACTGGGCAGATTGTTGAGCTGTACTCTCGCACACCAGGCTCCACGACCCCATCACTCCCACCCTCGCCTGACTCCACTGACTCCCCACTCCCCCCGGAGGATCAATTTCAAGATCCTTGTCCTCACTTTCAAGGCCATCCATGGTCTTGCCCCTTACTACCTCTCTGACCTGCTGACTCCCTACCAACATGCCCGCTTCCTCCATTCAGCGGGCTCCGGTCTGCTCAATGTCGCCTGCCCTACCATTGGTGGCCAGGCTTTCAGCCACTCTGCCCCCACACTCTGGAATTCCATCCCACGGTCCCTTCGCCTCGCTTCCTCCCTCGCCTCCTTCAAAGCCGGTCTCAAGATCCTTCTCTTCGATCATGCCTTTGGTCGCCCTTCCACCTCTCTACCTTCCCTCACCCCTACACTACCCCTCTCCCATACTTGGGCCTTGACACCTGACTGTTCAGCACTTTGGGACGTCCTCCCGACGTGAAAGGTGCTCTATAAATGTAATTATGTTGTTGTTGCTGCTGCTGTCCAAATATCCTGGATATCGGGACTCCATGCAATGACTGGTTTAGGCCATTGCTGGTTCCTATATTCTGCAAATATTATGAATGGAATTTGACAGCACCCAGGGCTAAGATTTTTTAAAAATTGCATTACTCTCACAGTGTTTCGTTACCTGGCATCCCACCATGGAAAAAAGGCACAACCTTGATCTTGTTCAGCACATGGAATCCTACTGCCAGTAGGTCAGGAATCAGACCTACTCAATTTACTTGATTATTAATAATTATTATAATTTTACAAATGATGACTAATAATTATAACGAATATGATTCCATGCCATATTACAATGGTGAGATGTTTCAAAGTGATTTTCAAAATTTACTGTAAAGTGTAGCGAATGTGTATTGTGTAGGCAAATGAGGCAGCAAATTTGTGCAGCTTCCTACAAACAAATAGCCATGAAGTGAACAACCAATTTTATGTGGGGGATTCTTGGCCAGGACACTGGGAGAAACTCCCATCTCCTTTCCAATAGTGCCATAGGATCTTTAACGTCCACCTGAAGATAGACAGACCCTAGGTTTTTGGTACTATTTCAAGGAGAAACTGGATGTCAAAATGAGCAGGAACAAAAATAAGAGAGATTTGTACAAGTTTAGAAACATGCACAGTGAGATTCAACTTACCTCGAGCTACAGCTCCTGCTATCAGCGGGATATAGATGCCATTGTAACCCAGTTTATGCTTTATAAAAACCCGTAATTGATCATAAGTAGTAAAATAAATAACTGTAGCAGGTACAGCCATTATTCTGAAAATAAAAAAACACAATTAAAAATGAAGAACTGTATATAAAAAAATCACACTATTCACATCAGGAGGATATTTCAAATGACTTCATACAACTGTGAGCTCAAGCTGGTGCAAGAGTGCATTGGGGTGGGGGAAAGGGACACGCGGATGAGAGTAAGGTCAAACATTCGGCCTAAAGTTGAGTTTTCCAGATGGACAGAGGGGTCAAGGCAGAGGGAATTCCAAAGAGCAAGGCAGAATGGTTGAAGGCATGACCAATAATGGTGGGGCGGAGAATGTGAAACAGACTGGTGATTGCAAAGCGAGAAGGCAGCGGTTGGGGCGGCAGGGCTGCAGGAAGCCGCAGACATTGGCTAGGGAGAAGCCATCCAGACATTTCAAAATGAGGAGGAAAATCTTGAATCTGATCTGTGAGGGGACAGGGGTCAAATGAGGATGGGGCTGAACCTAAGAGGTGATAAAAGCATTGAGGATCTCAGCAGCCTTGGGTGAGAGATAGAAATGGAGGAGAGTGGTGTTGTAGAGGGAAAGCAGAGCTAGTGAAAGCCTGGATGTAATGTATAAAGGATAGCCGGAGTCAAAGAAGACACTGAGGCTCAATGAAATAGAATGATCACCCGTGTAGGTTGATGTGGTCAGTGCCTAAGGTAAGAACCCACTGACTGGAGCCAGCAGGAGAGTCTTAGTCTTAGCCACATTGAGCTGCAGAAAGATAAAACTCACACAGATGTCTGACAGGCAACCTGTCAGAACAGTGGCCCTGGAATCAAACGAACAAGCAGAGAGATAGTTTGGATGGATGTCATCCACAAACATGTGAAAGTGGACTCCATGCTTATGTTTGATGTCACCAAGGTGGAGCATATAGATGGTGAAGAAAGGAGGGCCAAGTAAGAGCCCTGAGGAATGACACATGACTGAGCTGTGGCAGGAGGAAAGAAGCCATCTGAGGAGACAAAGTGAAGACACCGGGATGGTAATAGTGAAACCAGGAACAGACATAGACATGAAAGTGGAGCAGGATGGAAAGAAGGTGAAGAATGATGGAATGGATGATCGATAAGGACAAGGATCCCTGGTTGCAGATGGGGAGAATGTTGTTGGTGAAATTGACTAGGGCAGTCTTTGTGCTATAGGGAAGACTGAAAACCAGATTGGAAGAACTAAAAGAGTGAGTTGTGGTAGAGGAAGAAATAAAGCCGAGTCATCTCAGCTATCAGCACCTTGAAAAGGATGTTAGAAATTGGGTGGTATCTGGAGAGCATAGAGGGTCCGGTAAGAGTTTCTTGAGGAGGGGATAACGAATGTAGGTTTGAGAGGAAATAACATCAATAAAACACATTTAAATAAATTCAGGCAATAGATTCCTTTATAAAAAAAGCTAATAAAAGGCTTGTCTTTGTTTGATTCATGTTTAAAAATTAATTTACTCTATATGTTACACCATTTACCTATGAACTAAACTGTATAATTTTTTTGAATAGACTTTTTTTCTACCCATCAATTTCTGCAATTAATTATGAAAACCTAAAAGGAATGGTCACAATTACCTGCAATTGAAGTCCTTATCCCCAGCAGGTTCCACAAGCCCTTATCCACACTCAACTCCACTTTCCAAACCCTAGCAGATTTGATTCAAGATTCTCGTCCCCACTTTTAAATGTCTCTATGGCCTTGCCCCACCTTGCAATTCTACTGCCTTGGCCACTCCGCTCATCAAACACTGGCTTGCCTTTACATCCCCGAACCGCTCCACCCACTATTTGTCGGTGGGCCTTCAATTATCTGTTCTCTGGAACTCTACCCGGGGTCCTTCTGCCTTGCTCCTTCCCTCTCTGCCTTGAAACCCCATCTTACAACCAATTTTTTGGACCATCTATCAGCCATCATTCCCCTCTTCTGTTTAGCTTCCCCATGCCCTAGCTTGGGCTCCCAGTGAAGCCCTTTGAGATGTCCTTCTGATGTGAAAGGAGTTGTATAAAGATAAATTATTGTTCTTGTATTATTCACATCATTAATTTCAAAACAGTCCTGTCAAAAACATGGGAGCAGGTCACCTTCTGCCAGAGTAGAAGGAATGGGCAAGATGGAGGATACGACCAAAAATTAGCTCCTATTCAATCTTTGGCTAATTTGCATTCATTTGTTCTTTTGAAACTGACCTCAGTGCCCCAAATTGATGCGTCTCAATTAGCCTCGCTTATATCGTGAAGAGTTTAGGAAATAAAACATGATTTTAATTGCAGTTTTGAAGTTCAGATCTATAATTCCCTACCCTTATAAACATTAATTAAACTTACAGAGTTGGTGGCAGTCCACTCCAGAGTGATTTTATACCCTCAAAACGAATAATTTGGAAGAGTGCATCCTGCAAGACAATAACATTTTTTTCACATAAATTCATTCTTCGTGAATAAAGAACATTACAAATAGGAAAAATGCAATACAATATCAATTTATATAGTGCCTTTCATGTTGGGAGGATGTCTCAAAGCTCTTGATAAGGTTGGCTAAGCACCTGATCTAGGGTTGATATGACCAAAAGTACAGCCAAAGAGGTACAAAAGGAACATTCTGAGATAGATATTTGTAATGTGCTTAATAAAATTTGTTTTAGCAAAAATAAATCTGGTACATTGTGAAATCAATTCAACAGGACATTCACAACACTTTTGTCTGCCATGGGCCTATGGTCACCCCACCCCCAGCATCTAATTCTGCCACAATGCAGAGCTTCGAGACCCTATCCAGCATGAGCTACGCTATATAACTGGAAGTTGTTGAACCTTAAACAATCTTTACATTAAAAAATCTTGCATTTCATATAGACCCCTTCCGCTAAGAAAACATCTTAAAGTACTTCAAATGATATCCTGTAAACTGTATTTTGTAGATGAATGCAGCAGATTTTGACATTAATGGAAACGTGGGCCTCTGCAAGTATTTTTGACATGAAGTGACCAAGACATCCAAAGACAACTTAAAACATGCCTTATTCTACTCAGGAAAGAGTCTGAACTTATAACCAAACCTTATGTCCTGCTGCTATCGCCTTGATAATAATACTTGCATTAGATATAGCGCTTTTCACATCTAGACATCTCAAAGCGCTTCACAGAATATACTGTAAAGTGAATTGACTGTATATTTGTGGGGAAAATGCATAAAATGTAATAAACTTAAATTTAAACAAAATTTGATAAATTTAATAAATGAATAAACAAAAATTTACTTTCAAATACAGTCACTTCACTTTACAGTAAATTCTGCAGGGCGCTTTGAAACTATCTGACAACAACAACATTACATTTATAGAGCACCTTTCACGTCGGGAGGATGTCCCAAGGCGCTGGACAATGTAATATGGCACTATATCAGTGCAAGATGATTATCATTATTGTTTTATAGTTGACAAATATTCTACATTTACGCTCCTCCACAACACTCTCTCCACCACACTCAATGCCCTTGCCCCCATCAGCTCCCGAACTGCCTCCTATTCCCGATCCTCACTCTGGTTCACCAGTCACCTCCGCTCACTCAAGGGCCAGGTGCGGTCTGCCAAATGCACTTGGCTCAAATCGGGCCTAACGGTCCACCGGCACACCTGGCTGGACCACATCAAAACCTACCGCTTCACTCTCGCCTCGGCCAAATCAACAACAACAACAACAAGATTCCATTTATAAAGCGCCTTTCACGTCAGGAGGACGTCCCAAGGCGCTGCACAGTTGGGTCATGACCCGAGCAGGGGGGAAATGGTCAGGGTGAGGGAAGGGAGGGAGCAAGGAGGGGGGAAATGGTCAGGGTGAGGAGAGGGAAGGGAGGGAGCGAGGAGGGGGAAGAGGAGGAGAAATCATTCGTCTCGGGGAAATCATTCGGGGAAATCATTCGTCTCCTCCAGGTTAATCCTGGAGGTGCAAGGGCAACCCGAGGCTCCTGTTCTCTACCACCAACAGGCTTCTCCGCCCTCCCCGCCATGCCTTGCAGATTCCTTCCTCCGACTCCCACTGCGAGGAAATGCTGTACTTCCTTGAGTCCAAAATCGAGGGAATCCGCTCAGTTGCCACTGCCCTCCCAACTTCCACCTACACCCTCCCACCCCACTACCCATCCCTCCTTCCACACCTTTGAACCTGTCACCCCTCCACTATCATCACCACCATATCCTCCATGAAGCCCACCACCTGTTCCCTGGACCCCATCCCCATCCTTAAATCCCACCTCCTTGCCCCACTACTCACCGATATCATCAACCTCTCTCTGTCATCTGGTACTGTTCCTTCCCCCCTCAAAAAAGCCACTATCACCCCCACCTTGAAGAAACCTTCCCATGACCCATCACAGCTATCCAGCTACCGGCCCATCTCCAACCTTTTTCTGTCCAAGGTCCTGGAGAGCTATTGCCTCCCAGGTTTGCTCTTTCCTCTCCTCCTATTCCCTCCATGAGCCCCTCCAATCGGGTTTCCCTCTGGTCAAGGTCACAAATGATATCCTGACCATGTGTGATCAGGGCTCCCTCTGCCTCCTCATCCTCTCCTCTGCTTTTGACACTGTGGAACATTCAATTCTCCTCCACTGCCTCTCATCCTACCTCAATTTTCAAGGTTCTGTCCTTGACTGGTTCAGGTCCTACCTCTCACACCGCTTTCACTTTGTCTCAACAAACGGCTTCTCCTCCAGCCCCTCATGCAGCGTTCCTCAGGGCTGTCCTCGGTGCCCTCCTCTTCACCCTCTACATGCTCACCCATGATGACATCATCTGCAGACATGGGGTAAATTTCCACATGTATGCGAATAACACCCAACTCTATCTCTCTGCCTCCACCCTCAACTCCAGGACTACTGGCATCCTGACCGACTGCCTGTTCGACATCAAGTCCTGAACCAGGGACAACTTTCTCCAGCTGAATGTCACCAAGACCGAGGCCCTCCTGATTGGCTCGCGCCAGTGTCTCCGCACCTCGGGCGCTGGCAGCATCAGAATCCACGGCTGCACACTCAACCTCACTAAGCCAGTCAGGAACCTGGGTGTCTTGCTTGACCCTGAACTGTCCTTTCTTCCCCTCACATCCGCACCATGACCGACACTGCCTACCACCACCTCCGCAACATTGCCAGACTCCGCCATTGCCTCACCCCTCAGGCTGACGAAACCTTTACCGAAGCATTCTTCACATCAAGGCTCGATTATGGAAATTCCCTCCTCATCGGCCTTCCCAACTCTTCCCTTTGCAGGCTGCAGATCATCCAAAACTCTGCAGCTCGTGTACTCTCACACACCAGACTCCGTGACCCATCACTCCCACCCGTGCCCCACTGGCTCCCCATCACTCAGAGGATTGAATTCAAGATTCCTCATCCTCACTTTCAAGGCCATCCATGGCCTTGCCCCCTCCTACCTCTCTCACCTGCTGACTCCCTACCAACCTGCCTGCTCCCTCCATTTAGCAGGCTCAGGCCAGCTCCATGTCGGCCGTCCATTGGTGGCCAAGCTTTCAGCCTCTCTGCCCCCACACTCTGGAACTCCATCCTACAGTCCCTTTGCCTCACTTCCTCTCTTGCCTCCTTCAAGACTGGTCTTAAGGCCCTCCTCTTCGATCGTGCCTTCGGTCGCCCTCCCACCTCTCAGCCTTCCCTCACCCCATGCTCTGGCCCTGACCGCTGCCTGTCCAGCGCCTTGGGACGTCCACCTGACGTGAAAGGCGCTCTATAAATGTAATTTTGTTGTTTATTCATGAAATGTCTATTCACCTCACACTTTAATAAGCAATCATTTTTATGGATATTCTTCTTCTGTGGGCAACCTCAATGCGACTCTAACTGTTTTGTATAACGTTCCATGGTTTCAAACCTTTTTAAGTCATTTGGATAGAGTTGAATGCTAGTTATCCATAGTCCAGTTTTACATTTTAGCCCATGACAGTAGTAATATAAATTGTTCACGCAATGCAGAGTACTTCCTCTAATTACTGACACAAATGCCAAATGATACCATTTCAATCGCAGATGCACAGTTAGCTATCAAGGTTTCATCTTAGCTCAAAGGATGGTATATTCAGGCTAAATATCCAAATTTTTGAGTTTACAATTTCGGTTAACATTCCAGTGCAACAGAGGGAGAGTTCTGATTAGTTTGGAAATGTTGAACATCAACCTGCATTTATACAGCACCCTTCACCACAGTAACGTCCCAGAGTGCTTGATATGGCAGATATGTTAGAAAGCAAGGTTAAGTTTATTTGTTCAGGTGGATACAATAACCATAATTAACTGTGAAGCACTTGAAGAGTCATTTTGCTATAAAAATGAAGTTTGTTACAATAGCAGGTATTTTTGTTTCATGCAGCATCCAAGACTTACCAGTGACCCATTGAAATGCCTGGGTGTTTTATACCAAGCAAGGGTATTTCCATTCTCACAAATACATAGATGATCCATTAGGCCATTGCAGTACAAAAAACATTTTCCTGTGAATTAATACAAATAAGATTTTATTTTCCGACCCAACTAAGCAATTTTCCAAATTGCAGTAGCAGATTACTGTCATGCACAAATATTAGGTAATATAAAATACAGGAATGAAAAGCACTTGCACTAAGTAATTGTAATGTGAAAATCAAATTTGCAACAGATTGCTCAAATCGTAATAAAAGAAAAAAATGGATCCAATCATTTCTATATTACAATCTCAATAACACATCTGAAATTATTGCACTAAACTGTATAGCAGTTCTTCATTATTACTTGGTATATCCTCATCGCTATAAATTGCCTTAGTACAGTAGCAGTAGGATTGTGATAATACTTGAAAGTCCCCCAGATTAAGTATTAGCAAAGGTACAGGGCAGCACAAAATCTGCACACAAGCATATTACTTTAATATTTGTTTTAAAAATGCAAATATTTACTTTGTTTTGAAGATTTTGTAAGATATTTTGAAGTTCTTTGCAACTACCTTTATAGAATGGAGTTTTCTGGGCCTGCAGCCTTATCTTTATAACATCCAAAGGCGTAACTGAAAGAAAGACACATTACTGCATATCGTTTTCATAAAAATAGTTTATAGTAGTCACTTTATTAACTGACTCAATTGGTTAGCCTGCAACTGGAATAGTGCGTTCAGTTTTGGGCATTTCAGTTTAGGACATTAAAACTTTGGAAGGAGTGTAGAGGAGGTTTACAAGAATGATGCCAGGTATGAGGGCCTTTAGTTATGAGGAAAGATTGGAGATGTTGGTCTGTTTTCATAAGAGCTGAGGAGGTTGAGAGTGGAGCTGATGGAGGTGTATGAAATTATGAAGGGTTTTGACAGGATGAATAGGAAGAAACCATTTCTATTGATAAGGGAGTCAGTGACTAAGTGACATAGTTTTAAGACAGCCACAAGAAAAGCAAAAGGAAAGCTTAGGATTTTTTTTTCACTCAGAGCTGTTGGAATGTGGAATGCCCTAAGTAAGTAAGCAAGCAAGCAAGCAAGTAAGGTAGCAGAGGGTTAGGGTTTATAGATTTTAAGATTTTAAGGGGGAAGTAGACAGGTATATGAAGGATAGAGGCCTGAAGGCAAATGAGGGTTGGGCAGGGCAGTGAAATTAAAAGTGCAGCTTGCTCTGAGAGCCAGTGTACATTGATGGGCCAAAATGGCCTCCTTCTGTGCTGTAAATTTCTTAAGATTCATGAATGTGTAAAACAGCTATTTCATTTTTAGCACTTTGCATAGTATTACATAGAATATTATTTTAATAAATTAAACTTTCCACAATCTTATACATTGAGTAGAAACCCATGGTAGTTAAATCAATAAATGACATGGGAACACATTACTTAGCAGGTGCAAATTACATCACTTATGACACCAAGTTTGTGTGTTGATTCAACAACAATAATATTACAATTGTATAGAGCCTTTCACGTTGGGAGGACGCCCCAAGGTGCTGGACAGTGTACAGCATTTCAGACCCGAGCTGGGGTCAGGGCGGGAGAAGGGAGGGGAGAGGAAGGGGGGTGGCCGATGGCATGGAGGGTTTTGAGGCGGAACTTAAAAGAAGCTAAGGAGGGGGCGAGGCGGAGTGATTGGGGGATGTTTCCAGAGGTTCGGGGCAGAGGCTAAAGGCTCTCCTGCCAACGGTGGAGCGGGTGGGTCGGGAACGTGGAGCAGGCCGGATTCACCACCAAAGGTGCAGTATAAAGAGCATCACCAAAGTCAAGACAGCCAATTTAAAATTAGATGTGGAGAAAGGGTGGGGAATGGAATTAAAAGATCTGTCATGAGCTAATAAAATGATAGAACAGGAATCAGTGAGTTGAATGGCTTACTCTATTCCCATGTTCTTGATCTCCTATTAATAATAAATAAGAAATAAACACAGTAGGATGAGATTTTCTTTTCCACTCTTCGAGTTCATGCTATACAAGGCCTAAAGAGCAGAAACTGAAGCTTAATCGGAAAATATAGATATTTGCCTTGCTGATGTCAAAGAAGGAAGCAGAAGTTAAATTTGGGTCCCACATTGTAAATGTATTTCTTTAGTCATTATCATCAAGTATAGTAAAACTCGTATCAGTTAAGGTCATAACATTTAATATGACTTAACTGAAAGCGGGAATCAGTGTAGGTATATTACAATGGATACGCAATTGGTTGACTTGAAGAACCCAGTGGGTGGTGGTACAGGGAATGTCATCAGACTGAGAAAATGTTATCAGTGAAATTCCAAAAAGGTCTGCTTTGGGACCTCTTTTGTTTAATATTTTTATAAATGATCAGGAACTAGGAGTCACAAGCACATTGGTTAAGTTTGCAAATGACACAAAGCTAATGAAGGTAATAGATTGCTGAACAATATGAACAAACAGGAGGAGTTGAACATACTTGGGAATTGGGCAGATCGGTGGCAAATGAAATTCAATGTGGAGAAATCTAAAGTACTTCACATGGGGCAAAAAATCCACAGTACAAAACGGATATTGGTGACATCGAGAAGATATGGAGGAGGGCAACCAAAATGATTGAGGGAATGGAAGGACTGGACTATGAGCAGTAAATTGGGCATGTTCACACTGGAAAAGAGAAGATTGAGAGGCGACATGGAATTCTAAAGAGGCAAGACAATATTGATTATGACAGACTCTTTCAACTTAGAGGGGAAAATTCAGAACGAATCTATGCAAACAGCATTTCAGTGAGCGAATAAAGAACCTGTGGAACAGGGTCCCCAGAGAGATGGCTGAAGCAGGAAGTGTTGATTCTTTCAAACACAAATTAGATAGTTTTCTTTTAGGAAATAACATTATGGGATATAGTACATAGGTAGTTTGGAGTCCTGTGGCTCAGTGGTTAGAGCACTCGCTTTGCAAGTGAGAGACCTGAGTTCAATTCCAGGCAGAGGGCGAAACCTTGGGCAAGTTTCCTTACTCCACACAGAGCCTAATAATAATCCCTCCAAAACCAATAATAAAATTGGTCATTTTCAATCTACGACTGTTTGTGGGACATTGCTGCGCGCAATTGGCTGCCGCGTTCGCCCACAAATATACAGTCAATTCACTTTACAGTGTGTTCTGTGAAGCGCTTTGGGACGTCCTCCCGACGTGAAAAGCGCTATATCAAATGCAAGGATTATTATTATTATTATATATACATGCCACAGGAAGGTGAAAGGCGAATTAAATGGACTTTGGTCTTTTTTTCTTCTAGCATTTCTTAAGTTCTTATGACTTACTCAAAGTCTGAATTACAGGCAAACTGTATAAATTGTATTATAAACAAAATGATTGAATCAATAATTTACACTGTGCATGTGTAATTACAATGCAGCCAGTAAGTGCGCATCCGGTGATGGGTCAAGACTACATTTCATGTGATTCAATGAGTCTTGAACCGTTGCCGCATGCGCACTTACCAGCAAACATTGGAAACGCATTGAATTGCAGGAATTGAAGTTCTTCTGCATGTGCGTCGACGGATCAAGACTACGTTTCCTACAATTCAATGCATGTGTCAATGGGTAAGGTCATCATTTCCGTGTAAAACTAATGGAGGGAAAGGGAACGGAGTTAGGAGGTGATTAATATGAGTAGTGGAAAGAAATCCAAGTGGTTTTGATACGAAACTGAATGGGACTCGGTGAATGTACAATTGAGGTGATTATACGATTTATAAACTTAAGATTTATGTGAGTTTTACTGTATATCAATTTACATCACTGCTACAACAATTTCCATTTATATAGCACCCTTCACGTAGGATAACATCTCTGAGTTCTATACAGTGGAGTTAGATGATGAGCATGGAAAAAAAGGAGAGGTGACCATAGATGGGATTGAAAAGGTAGGTTAAAACAGAGTACATATCTTGAATACTAAAGGATACAAAAAAAAATCTGGTCAAACGTAGTGATATGTTCTAAGCATTTACATTGCTGCCCCTAGTTACTCATGTTGAGTCTGGACATGCAGTAGTTACATGGATATCTATAGTTTTAAAAATGTCCTCCCATATCTGTCTAGTTTACTTCAAGATAATTAATCACCCAAGTACACAAACAATTATTTTTTAAAAAAAACTTTCACAAACAAACAAAAAAAGAAAAAACATTTCCTTACCAAGCAGTGAAGTTATCACGGCACCAGAACATGAAGCTATCATTTGTTGTAAAGGTTTGATTCCATTTAAATTATTCATTCCTGAATTCTGAGGCATTTTGGCTTGTTCTGCTACATAGAGAAAAAAAGGGACAAACGGCAATGAACTAGATCTCTAATAACTAATGCATTTCAGTGTCAACTGCACACTGTGCAAATGGAAAGTGAACCCATCCCATTGGTTTATCCCAAATGTGCTTTTTAATTAACTCGTTCTAGATGCATCAGCCTGGCTCAGTTGGTAGCACTCCTGCCTCCAAGTTAGAAGGCTATGGGTTCATGCTCCATGTCATGACTTGAACAGAGTGACACCCCAGTGGGTTGCTCGGGGTATGATGCATTGTTGGAGGTTCTGTCCTTCAGATGAGATGTTAAATCAAGGTCCCATCTGCTTGTTCAGATGGACATTAAAGATCCCATGACACCTCAGTGCACAGCACACATCCTGCATACTTCAGTGATGTTGAGAGACTCAATAGGTATGCTGAAGAATAATTTGATAGCAGTATCGGTAGCTAGTCTCAAGTCAAAAATGATAAGCATAGGAAATAAACATTGGTTCAACAACATAATGAAATCTCAAACTATTCACTTTACCTTACAAACCAGTGTGCACACGGATGTGTTGAAGGCAGATTTGAAAGTACTGTATTTCCATACACGATGGTTCTGTAATGGAAGCAAAACAAATGGATGGTGAGCACCTACAGACAAAATCAAAATCCATCAATCAATCCACGAGACAATTCACAGACACACGTTGTCTATTATTCTATCATATTACTAAATGTATTACTCAGTTTACCACCATACTATTAAAAAAGTTGCAGCTACACATCAGGGATGGAAATCATTATCATTGCCACATGGTGTAATTGGGAGAAAAAAATATGCCTCACTATATAAAGAATTTATCAATAGATTCTTCACACCTTTGGGAGAGCTAGAGATGAAGGAGATATCTTAACAGAAAGGACACTTCTGGCTTTAAACAAAGCACAGTTCTTTAGTAAACTGTTTGGATGTGACACAAAAGTAGATACGTTTAAGATTTCTGAAATGAATTTTTACCAAAAATGCAAATTTACAAGCAGTTGGTGTTGAGTAATACAAGTATGAAGCACTGAATTTGAAGATAAAAGTGGCTGACACATCACAAATTCTCCTGTATAGGTCCTTCCACCTCACCGAAGGCAGATGTCCATCAAATAGCTGATGAGGAAACTGAGGCTTTGGATCACAGCGGCTGGAAAAGATTACCTGGAGTCTGGGACTGTGAACTCGCTCTCATACATCCAGAGTTTGATATCCACCTTGATTAGTACTCAGAGAGGCAAGTCATTTCTTTTCAAATTCCAAACTGTAGATCCATTGCTCAATGGGTTGAGATATGTTATCGGGATGGTATCAAGCTCTCATCATTCCATGCTCAACTGTGCTGCTCACCAGGAAGCTTCTGGTGAATTTCTGGCACCTGCTCGTCACCTAGCAAGAGCTCAAACCTGCACTTGTCAGATGTCAACTGGCGAACTAGTGATTATCCTCCGAGTCAGGGGAGGGGAAAGGAAAGAGGTAATCTGGATTTTCTTGAAACTCTGCTGCCTCCAATGTGGCATGCTTGGCAAACAAATGCCAGAATTCAGTCAACAGACACGGTCTCAGTAGTTCTGTTCCTGCGTCAGGCAGACCTGTAGTATGGCAAGCCACCAGCTTGGTTCATCTGGATGCACGATTTAGAGGGGCAGACCAGTCACTGGAAATGGGGATTCTTTCCACTTGGTTCATGTTAACCTTTGTTTTAAGCCAAACCCTAACAGGTAGGGTGGTCCTACATGGACATGGTGCAGGAAGACGGTGCTCTCAATGGCAAGTTATGTGGTTTTAGCTGGTGAAACTCCAGTAGTATCCCAACTCTGGTGTCTCCAAGCCTAATATCCTTCAGAATTGGGTAAGCAGCATGAGAGTGTGCTTTACATTCCAGACACATGGAAATGTTCATGTATAGAAAGCATGTGTGGAGCTCTTAGTCTGGTTGAATTGGATGCTCTTAAGCATGGTGATGGGTTTCAGCATATGTCAGACACTCAGCTAACCCAAAATAATTGTGTAGATTTCCAGATTAGATCATCCAGCATTATAATAATAATGCTTGCATTTGATATAGCGCTTTTCCCATCTTCTAGACGTCTCAAAGCGTTTCACAGAATATGCTGTAAAGTGAATTGACCGTATATTTGTGGACGAAACGCAGCAGCCAATTGCGCACAGTAGTGTCCCACAAACAGTTGTGGATTGAAAATGACCAATTTATTTTTTTTGTTTTGGAGGGATTATTATTAGTGTGGAGTAAGGAAACTTGCCCAGAGTTTCGCCCTGCCTGGAATTGAACCCAGGTGTCTCGCTTGCAAAGCGAGTGCTCTAACCACTGAGCTACAGGACTCCACAGCATTATCTAAAGCACACATGTAACAGCTATCCTACAGAATTTTACATATCTAAACCACGGTAAGCCAAATGTGTAAATGATTAACAGAACATAAGATTAGCAGAGCATGACAAAGCAACTTCAATACTTTTTATCCTGTAAGAAAGGCTATGCTATCTGACAGAATTACTCAAGGGAACTCAAGTATTTACTTTTAGATATAGAAACATTGAACTTATTCACTGGCTTTTTTTAAAACAAAAAAAATTGCTTAAGATAAACAGACACTTACGACTCTCTTTATTCAAAATAATTGAGAGAATACAGAATCAAAGGCTATATAAAAATTACCATAAATTAATTGTCCCTGTTGATTGGCGTCAGCCTAGTTGGTAGCATTCGCGCCACTACGTCAAAAGATTGTGGTTCAAACCCCCAAGTCGGGACTTTGAGCTCATAGTCTGGGTTGTTACATAGTCTAGGGCCGTTATATTGTTAGAGGTGCCATCCTTTGAAGGAGACATTAAAAAACAACAATCTAGTGTTTGTCGGCCAACAATCCTCGGATTAAAAAAAGAATCGGGGGGAGGGGGGAATCCAAGGAAGGGTGGAGGAAAGGGGAAAAGATGGGTGGGGAAAGGATTAGGAGGGTGGGAGGAAAAAGAGGAATAGGAAGAAAATGAGCGAAAAAGGAGGGTGTCGGGGGGAGGGGGGGAAAAGAGAGAGATAGTAGAGTTGAGAGCTCATGGGGGGTATAAACACCAGCACAGGGTAGTTGGGAAAAATAGCCTATTTCCATGCTGCAAAGCCTATGGAATTCTTTTCATGGCTGTTTGAGGAACATTGCTGTATGCAAATTGGCTGCCACATTTGACACTGAAATCCTGTGAAGCACTTTGCGACATTTTGATGACATAATAAAGTTCTATATCAAATGCAAGGATTGATAATACATGATATTCTGTTTTTATCTAGCAGCTCAAAACTTCTGAAAGCACTCCAAATGGAGTTACTTTGCAATATTGTGACTGTTATATAAGCTTATTTAAGCATAAGAGACAGCTACTCTCTGTCAGCAACAGGTGGATGAAATTGAAACACATTATAGAGTTGAATTTGAAGAAGGGAAGAATATTGGCTCTTTGAAATTAAAATGTTCTGGGTCCATCTGAAACACATAGTCAGACATGCTTTTGTTTTATTAATATGAATAATCCTGCATCTAATACAGAACCTTATCATAATACTCCTAATTTTTATTGCTGTATTTAGTGTAGAACTTTTCAGATCGGGAGAATAATACAATAATCCTTGCATTTGATATAGTCATTAGATATAGTTGTTATCACGTTGTTGATATGTCTCAAAGCATGTCATAGAACATATTGTAAAGTGAATGGACTGTATATTTTGTGGCCAAAACTCGACAGCTAACTGCGCACAGCAGTATCTCACAAACAGTCATAACCTGGGGCAATAGAAAAGGACAGCCACAATTTTTCCGTGGAATCCACTACAAACATCTACCTCCGCTACAAACAACAAAATTAATAATAATAATCCTTGCATTTGACATAGCGCTTTTCACGTCTTCTAGACGTCTCAAAGCGCTTCACAGAATATATTGTAAAGTGAATTGACTGTATATTTTGTTGTATAACAACTTTCACGTCAGGAGGACATCCCTTCCGCTAAAAACACCTTCCTCTACAAACCTGTCAAAAATGCAGTTGTGCTCAACCCTGGGCCACTCGCGCTGTTGCTGGCTGTTTGCTCGAGACCACCCGCTATTGTGGCTGGAGGGGCTCCAGACACGCATGTGTGGTGCGACACAAGTGGGAAATGGACTTCGCTCACTCCGAGATCCTGCTGTTGTGATTGTCTGTTTGTTTCTCTCTCCTCTGTATGTGTTTGTGAGTGTCTACCTCCTCTGTCTGTGAGTGTGCCTCTCGGTCTATGAGGGTGCGTCTGTGAGGGTCCGTGTGTCACTCTGTGAGGGTGTCTGTGAGTGTGTGTCTGTGACTCTCTCTCTCTCTCTCTGAGTGTGTGTCTCTCTGTCTGTGAGTGTATGTGTGTGTCTTTGTGTCTCTCTGTGTCTGAGTCTGGTGGCAGACCCCGAGAGGAGGTGGTGACCTCCTGGAGCCCCGCAGTCAGGACACTGGTCTTCAAATGTAGTGTGGGGTGGAAACGGATCATTCAGCCCTTTGGGCCTGCACTAGTGTTTCTTCCTCCCAAATGAGCCAACCAGCGTTTGTTAAAGAAAGTATTAATAATATTTTTTGCAACGATTGTGTGTTATTTCTTCATGTTTAGTCTGTATCAATAAAGTGAAAAAAATGTGGGTTGGCAGTAAAATATATGCCTCAATAGCACCAATGAACCGCCCGCAATTCCCTGCAACAGTTGTCAAATTTCCCTGCAATTTTTGGCAAATATTTCTGCAATTTGCTAGTGGCCCTGGTCAAGACCAAATTATTATTTATTTATTTTGAAGGGATTATTACCCCTGAAAAGAATCCCACCAATTGACTCGCAACCAGGTTCCTACTTACTCCTTGGAAAACTGAGGCATGTAAAGTAAGGAAGTTTACCTAAGGAATCCAACCCAGGTCCTCTCGCTTGTGAGGCGAGTGCTCTGAGCAATACTCTACACGGCTCCACAAAAGATCATCTGAAAGTGCTTGACAGGTTGTACTGCGAAGTGTAGTTACTGTATACAGGGCAGCCATTAATTTGGACATAATGTCTCACAAACAGCGGTGAAGTTAATGTGTCTCAAGAAGGGTAACTCTGTTTAACTTATTTCCGCACTTTTCAGATCGGGGGAACATCTCCGTGCTTGACAGCTGTTACTGTAAAGTGTAGTTACTGTGTAGGTGGGCAAACAGTACCACTGATTTAAACACAACGTCCTACAAACAGCGGTGAAGTTAATGTTTGGCAAAAGCATAATACAACAATAATAACCCTTGCATTCGATATAGCGCTTTTCACGTCTTCTCGACGTCTCAAGGCGCTTCGCAGAACAGACTGTAAAGTTAATTGACTGCATATTTAGTGCTTCGAGCAAGGACAGGAGGTCAGGCAGGAGGGAGGAGGCAGGAGGCGGGGTGGAGGAGGCAGGAGAGGCAGGCAGGAGGCAGGCAGGAGCAGTAAGGCAGCAGACAGGCAAGGCAGGCAGGCAGGGTAGGAGGTAGGCAGGCAGGAGGTAGGTAGGCGGCAGGTAGGCAGCGGAGGCAGGGAGGGCAGGCAGGAGGTAGGTAGGCAAGGTAGGTAGGTAGGAGGTAGGTAGGAGTAGGAGGAGGGTAGGTAGGTAGGTAGGTAGGAGGCAGGGGAGGAGGTAGGTAGGAGGTAGGTAGGTAGGTAGAGTAGGGGAGGAGGAGGTAGGAGGGGAGGAGGTAGGGTAGGGAGGAGGAGGGGGAGGAGGGAGGGAGGAGGAGGAGGAGGTAGGGAGGAGGTAGGTAGGGGGGAGGTAGGTAGGAGGGTAGGAGGTAGGTAGGGTAGCAGGCAGGTAGGCAGGCAGGTAGGCAGGTAGGCAGGTAGGTAGGCAGGTAGGTAGGCAGGTAGGCAGGTAGGCAGGCAGGTAGGTAGGTAGGTAGGCAGGTAGGTAGGCAGGCAGGTAGGTAGGCAGGCAGGCAGGCAGGCAGGCAGGCAGGCAGGTAGCAGGCAGGCAGGCAGGCAGGCAGGCAGGTAGGTAGGCAGGCAGGCAGGCAGGCAGGCAGGAGGCAGGCAGGCAGGCAGGCAGGCAGGCAGGCAGGCAGGCAGGAGCAGGCAGGCAGGCAGGCAGGCAGGCAGGCAGGCAGGCAGGCAGGCAGGAGGCAAAGCAAACAAAAAAAACACGACTGGAAGACAGAATCAATAGCAAAGGTCGCAACCTCATGCAACAACTTGCATATATATATATATATATAACACTCCTCACACAGGGCAGCGCTCATTGACTAAAACAGCGAAATGAATTCCTCTCCCCACCCCCCCACACCCCCTCCCACGCAAATACACGTTGTTTTTTTGGGGGGGAAAAAGAGAGCCGTTGCTTTCTCTCCTACTGCCGAGTGACCTCTGTGCAGCGTGAAGTGAAGCGCGGGGCCGCGGGGCCGGAGCGGTGCAGTCCCGAGTCCGAGTCAGTCAGTCAGTCAGAGCGCACAAGGCCACGCGCCCCTCACCCACCGGAGAGTCGGTCACAGCGGCCGGAGGCTCCGGGACAACGTCCTCTCGCTCCCCCAACCCCAGCCCCGTCCGGTGTCCTCGCTGCGGCCCGTGTCTGCGCTCTTCAAGGCCGCTGCCTTCCCCGTCCCCTCGCACATGGTCGCCCTCTGAGCCACGCCGAGCCGAGCGGTGACATTGACCCCCCCCCCCCTCCCCGCCCCGAGGAGAGACGAGACGTTGCCGCCCCCCGAACCCGCTTCGTCCGGTCCCGCCCCCGTGTAAGCGCTCCGCACTGCTTCACACCGCCGCCGCTGCTCTCTCTCTCTCTCTCTCTGTCACTCTGTCACTCTCACACTCGGCTCCGCACATTCGCGACTGGACCCCGTTCCTTCCAAACCCTTATTAAAATTCCGTGTTGGATGGGGACCCTCCGCGGCTGATTCGAAGGGGAATCCTCGACTTGAAGTGTAAGTGTGTGTCTGTGTTTTTTTTTTGTGGGGGGGGGGGGGGACAAAAATATACCGTTGAAGCAATCCAGCGGCGCGCGCGCGCCGTGCGGAAAGTGCGGCGCTGGGAACCGGCGGTTGGTTTACTCGCTCCCCCCCCCCCCCCCCCGTAGCGCGCATCGCGAGCGGCGGGAAAAAGGAACCAACGGAAAAAAAACAGAAGAGGCTCTCGAGACCAGAGGGCCGAGGGGTGAGGGAGGGAGAGAGGCTGAGGGGGAGGCAGGGAGGGAGGGCAGGGAGTGAGGGGGAGGGAGGGCAGGGAGTGAGGGGGAGGGCAGGGAGTGAGGGGAGGGAGGGCAGGGGGAGAGGGAGGGAGGGCAGGGAGGGGGAGAGAGGCTGAGGGAGGGAGGGCAGGGGGAGAGGGAGAGGCAGGGCAGGGGGTGAGGGAGGAAGAGGCAGGGCAGGGGGTGAGGGAGGAAGAGGCAGGGCAGGGGGTGAGGGATTGAGGCAGGGCAGGGGGTGAGGGAGGGAGGGGCAGGGGGTGAGGGAGGGAGAGGCAGGGCAGGGGGTGAGGGAGAGGTAGGGCAGGGAGTGAGGGATTAAGGCAGGGCAGGGGGTGAGGGAGGCAGGGCAGGGGGTGAGGGAAGGAGAGACAGGGCAGGGGGTGAGGGAGGGAGGGGCAGGGAGTGAGGGAGAGCAGGCAGGGGGTGAGGGAGGCAGGGCAGGGGGTGAGGGAGGGCAGGGCAGGGGTGAGGGAGGAGGCAGGGCAGGGGGTGAGGGAGGGAGGGCAGGGGGTGAGGGGAGGAGGCAGGGGGAGGCAGGGCAGGGGGTGAGGGAGGCAGGGCAGGGGGTGAGGGAGGGCAGGGCAGGGGGTGAGGGAGGAGGCAGGGCAGGGGGTGAGGGAGGGAGAGGCAGGGGGTGAAGGAGGAAGAGGCAGGGCAGGGGGTGAGGGAGAGGCAGGGGGTGAGGGAGGGAGAGGCAGGAAGTAGAGGGGGGGGAGAGAGTCGGGTAGAGAAGATAAAGGAAGGGCAGGGGGTGAGGGAGGAAGACAGACGAGTAGAGGGGACAGTGAGAGTCTGAGGAGATAGAGGAGGGAAGAGCTTGAGACAGATAGTGAGGAGACAGAAGGACCTGAACAGTTCTGGGTCACAGCAGTGCATAAGGACGTCAGTCAGCATTGAGCAGTGACACTCCAGAGACACTCAGCCCACAGCAAAAGAATCACACAGCAAAGGCCAGTGTTGGGTAAATATGCTTGTTGTTCCCCCTGTGTTGGGTAAATATGCTTCTTGTTCCCCCTGTGTTGGGCCCATTTTCGATATAGTGTTTTTCATGTCGGTGGATGCCTCAAAGTGCTTCACCGGATTTACTGTAAAGCTTGTTGACAAGACAGAAGCCACACTCATCGGCTCCTGTCAACGTCTTCTACCCTTTGGTCACCTTCCCCTCCCTTCGGCTGGGAGTCTTGCTCCACCACTGTCAAGCGCTCTGAGATGCTACCCTGCGTGAGGAGCCCCATATAAATGCAAGTTGTTGTTGTTGTTGTTGCCAAGGATGTTCAAACTAATTTGGTCTATAGGGCATGAAGCACAAACCAAGGTAAACTCGTTTATTTTGAAATCTATGCTGTTAACTGCACCAATACCAAGATAGGCCCCAGATGTTAAATTCTGAACAACAACAACAAGATTATATTTTTATAGCGCCTTTCATGTCGGGAGGATGTCCCAAGGAGCCCCCAAATATACAGTCAATTCACTTATCAGTTAAATTCTGAAGTCTATTAATGAAATATTGCATATTTCAAAAGATGAACATCAGCAAAATAACTTATTTAAAGTTGAAGCATCAGAGAATGAGATTTGAGATACTTTGAAATGATCTGTTGCTACAGGATCATCAATGTCAGGTTTGATCATCTATGCTGAGTTCAGGTGCTTCTGTGCCAATGTCAGCTTGGAAGCAAATCTTTGGGATTTTCATCACTGAGAACATATGTTGCCATATTGCGACAAGTGCTTGGGAAAGATGTGAACAATCGATATGCAAACAAAAATTGGCAAACCAATTACTTGCATTTCATTTCAAGTCTTATACATGTTACAGAAACTTTGTGAAGCTCCATGAGCTTTTTCCATGTGATAAAGTGCTTTATCAAATGCAATGTTGATGATTATCCTTTTGAGTTACTGAATTGAAAAGACAACTTAGAAAAGTTGAGATATTGTTTTGTGAATAAGGATGATAGATGATACTGCTGTTATCTTGTGTCATGCAATGGAATGCTTTTCTATTGTTAAGCATTTCTCATTCTTATCTTTCCATTTTTAAATGGAAAACAACTATTTCTAACTTTCTTATCATGACTAAAATTCAGCGATCAGGTAAATATACAATCCATTACCAGTGCACAAGTATTGGGAGCTTTACACTGGAATAATCCAATAGTGCTAAGATATTGAAGTCAAGGGAGGGGTAATGTTTACTTTTGTAGCCAACATCTCTGTAGTGTCTTGAAGAACTTCTGTTTAATTACAAATTTGAGTCTTGGTCTTCACCCCACAACAAAACCTGTCCAAGCTCTTGGGCTTCACCATATTAAGAATGCCCCCCTTGAGCAAGATATCAGGGATTCTATAATAATAATAATCCTTACATTTGATATCGTGCCTTTTCACATCATATTGACCAAGAAGATAGCTATTGCTGGTTGTACAAATTAAATAGGTCATAAATGTCACAGGTGAACATTGGGTAGAATGTTTTATTTAACATTACATATTCATTACTTTTAAACGTGTTGAGTAATAATCTGCAGTTTTGTGATAAAAAATATAGAGTTATATTTACAAATATTTAAATATTTAATTCCCTTTTTCAGTTTCAACATGAATTTGAAATGATATGCTATGGAAAGGATATGAGTTTTCCCGAAAATGAAACCTGGCAGTAACTCTGCAGAAACCAAAATACAGTCAAATAGTAAGTATAGATTAAATATTTAAATCCAATCTTTCATGTGTAAAACTTTTTTTTTGTTGTTCAAGGATATTTAAACTGAAGAAAGCCTCAAGAATTTGCAGCAGCACTGGAACCATGATTAAAACTTTTTTTCAGTTTCTAGCATTGTTCCTTTCTTCTTCTATCTTTTTAGATAATGTTTGGACCTATAGGGTCTGGATCAAATCTGATAATAGACTAAAGTTTTCAGTTTCTTCTATGGCTTTGTTTGAGGATATCAGTTTCAGGTATTCCTTACAGCATTGCAATGATTTGGATTCCCAAACAGTATTATGCTGCTGGCGGACTTACCTGGAGATCCTCGCTATTTTGAATACTGGACTTACCATTGGAACATAATAACGGGTGCCCCAAGTGCGGGCTCTGACATTGAGGATATTGAATAGAAAATATAAGAGGCTTCAGACCCACTTATTTATTCTTATTCATATCTGGGGGAAGTGGTGGATACCAACGTTTGCTTGGACACTGTTCTGTGGAACCGCATTGGGAAGGGTACTCTCGTCGTCTTTGTCTGTCTTCGAGGACAGCAAAGTCCTAATGCAGGTTAACTAAATACCAGGTTACCCAATCACCTTAATGTTCTTGAGGTCCAAGCCAATTCCGTGTACCAGCCTTTACTCAACACCAGCTGCTTAATCCAGGTCCTCATGCGAGGGGCAATAGCAAATTGACGTGCCCGCTGTGAAGCCCACTTCACCTCCAGGGTGCTTAGTGTCAGGTCAGTGTAGGTCGGAGCAGCCGCTTCCCGTGTTTGCCACAATTCCACCTTATTGCTTGATCCTGGACTTTGCAAATGGGTCAGAGGAAGCCTTTCCTAATGGTTAATTCAATGGTCCTAGCTGGACAAGAAGCATTAAGCTTGCTAGTTAGTGTTTGCAATGGCAAGTTATAGGCTTTAGTTGGTTAAATTCAAGCAATACCCCAACACAAACTCTGGAGTTCCCAAGCCTTGGCTTTTGTCATACTTTCTGGAAAAGGTAAGCAGAGTGTGTCCCTTTGGGAAAAGGGTGCCCACTCCATTTCTGGTGAAGGTAAAATTCTAGATGTATATGGCATGAATGTGTGAAAATCATGATCTGGGTTGGATACTCACAAAGATGGTGATGAGTTTCTCCATGTGATTGACACCTAGCTGACCAAAAAAAGCTCCCAATACCACATTTCCAGAGTGAGAACTCTGGCAGACGAGCTGTTCAAATTTGGAGTGGATCACTGAGAAGTGAACAAAAGACTGATGTTTCTCAAATCAAATCTTGATTCCTGTGGGATGTGTCTTGTCGGCTCAACATCTTCCCTAATGACCTTCTTAAGCTAAAGAATAATTACAATTTTCTTTGTCTAAGCTCTACTGATTTTATTTGAATCTTATTTTTTAAAAAAATCTAACAGATAAAATTTGCTCGTTTCCCTAGTGGACTCATTATACATTTTGTTTATTGCAGCATTTGGGGCACATGGAAAACAAGGAAAAATTAAAGCTACGCTGAAGACATTACAAAGAGGAACTAATAAAGGAGACAGCAAACTGAAACCTTTTGCTGGAAAGGTGTTTTACCTAGACCTGCCTTCCAATAAGTATACTGAAAACTTAGAAAAGGATTTACAAAATTTGGGAGGGGTATGTATGTTCAAAACTTCCAAAATTATTGCATTTTGTAATAACATACTACAGTAATATTTAATTTTGTATTGTGTTATCACCTATATTTCTCAAAACACTTTTTTAAGTCCCAGGTTTATGTCTAAGATTAGAAAGATTATAGTAGCTTGAGCAACTTATGACAAGGGACAATACAAAAGTGCAGAAATATTTGTCAACGATTATGAGGAAATTTGGAAATTTTGCAGGAAATTGCGGGGAGTTGATTTGTGCTAATGAGGTACATTTTACTGCTAGCCTACATTTTTTCACTTTATAAGCAAAACATGTTGCAAAAACAATTATTAATTGCTTCTTTAACCAAAAAAGGGTAGATTTTTTTTGGAGGGAGGAGCTCACCACTTCCTGCCCCTCAGGGCCCAGTACCGCACCCAGACACAGAGACTCACAGACGGAGAGAGGCATACACACGCACTAACACAGAGAGACATACGCACACATTCACACAGAGACACTGAAACACATATACATATACAAGAGACACACAGCCACACTCACAAGCATACATACAGAGGAGAGACACACACACATATGCACTAACAAACATGTACACACAGAGGAGAGAGACCACTCACATAGACACTAACAAACACACACACATACAAAGGAGAGAGACACACTCGCGTAGAGACACTCACAAACACATACGAGGAGAGAGACACATTCATACAGACTCTCACATAGATACACACAGACACACACACAGACTTACATAGACACTCACAAACTCATAGAAACACAGAGACACAGACACTCACAAACAGGGAGAGAGCGACACTGACACTCACAGAAACATAGAGACAGACACACACAGACAAACACATAAAGAGAGACATGCTCACACAGACAATCACAACAGTGGGGCATCCGAGTGGAAGGAAGCCCATTTGCACCTGGAGCTGCCTCTGCCCACCGTGATGTCATGTAAACAGCGCTAAGGCCTGCACCTCAGAAACTGCATTTATAGCGGGTTTGTAGCAGAGGGGGGTTGATTTGTGGCGGATTCCACAGTGATTCCTTTTTAAAAGAGCAATCTCTTCGAGTATGGCCATTTATGTTGCTTACACCTTAAATTTGCCTTCCTCCTTCTCACTGCTGTGTGTTCTCTATCATCTCTGTGAAGCATTTTAAGACGTTTGACTTTAATTTCCACACCAGGTTCTCACTCTCTCAGCTTTTTCTGATCATTGTAACATCCCCCGTCTTTGCCACTACCTCTTCCGAGGCCCAGTTTAATGCTTTCATCACCCCAGACTCGACTATTGAATGCCCTGCTCATTGGACACCCCAGCGACTCCCTACACAAGCCATTGACCGTCCAGAATTCTGCAGCCTATTTCCTCTCCCGCACCATGCTTTGTGTGTCCCTCACCCCATCCTTGCTCAGCTCCATTGACTCCCCACCACCCAATGGATCAAATTCTAGATCCTTGTCCTCGCTTTCAAATTCTTCACGTCCTCTTTCCACCCTTATCTCTATGACCTTCTTCAACGCTATTTTGTCTGGCCTTCTATTCAGCAAACTGCCCTGTTTTATACTATCTTTCTTTGGGGTGGTGGGGGAGGTAAGCGGGGTCTCCTTGGACCTGAGCTGAGCCAAGGTGACATGCTTGGCAAAGGAATTGAGCCAGCCCTCTGTGGCGGTCTAGGCAGTCTGGTTTCTGAGCCAGGCCAGTCCGCTGTATTCCAGGGCACGGTTGATGACAGCACAACTAATCTGGCTCATCGGCAGGACGTGGAAGGGCAAATGAGTCACTAAGGGCATGGAATCATCCCATTCTGCTCCTGCTAACCCTGCAAGCCAAAACCCTAACGGTAGAGTGATCCGAGCAGGACAAACAGCAGGAAAGTTTGCCAGACAGAGATATCAATTGCAAGCTATGTGTTTTTAGCTGCTCAGAATCCAGCAGTACTCCAACACACATTCTGGGGTCCCCAAGCCTTGGCCCTTGCCAACTTGGTCTAATATTTTCCAGAATTATGATGTGTCCCTCCAGGGAGAGAATGCACATTCCATTCCAACAATCTATCTCTGGGATTTCCACGTGTAGATGGATGCATGGAATTCTCAATTTGGTTTGGATACTCTCAAGTATGGTGATGTGTTTCTGCATGTGTCAAATACCCAACTGACCAAAAAACAAATACCCAGTCTGTTTCACCATCGTTGTGTGAACTTTCAGCCTTTTGTCCTCTGGAACTCCATGTAGGAGCCTTTTACCTTGCCCACATCTCCCTGGCTTCAAAACCTGCTTTAAGACCTATCTTTTTGACCAAGGTATCAGCCACCTTCCATTTTTGGACTAAACATGATAGTCTTTCTCAGCCTGTACTCAGCAATCAAATATTAAGTCATATTACGTATTCTGTTGCTCTGATGTCTGGAAGCGCCTGTTCAGCGCTTTGGGACGTCCTCCCGACGTGAAAGGCACTCTATAAATATAATTTTGTTGTTGTTGAAAACTTGGATCATTGTTGTGCAGAAACAATGTTTATTATGTATGTATAAATTTGTATTATGTGTTCTGCATCACAATTTTTTCTTTTTTTATAGACAATTGAAAAATTTCTTAGCAAGGATATCAGTTACATAATTTCGAATAGAAAGGAGGCTAAATTTGTACAGGCTGCAGGAAAAAACTCTCCTGTACCAAGTCCTGATTCTGTTCAGAATGCTGGGAACACTTCTCCTCATCCAAGCAGTCGGAGAGATAGCTATGAAGGAAGCACGCATAAAACTTTGGCGACTGTAAGTTTCAGATTCTATAAACACAACTATATTATTGGACTAAACTTTATAGTCTTCCTAAAAAAAAGTTTTTCTTTTTGATCAAAATATAAGAGAAGTCATCAATTAAGCTTTTATTATTATTTGTAGATTTAAAAAAATATTGACTCTTACGTGGAACGTGATAGACATTTTGTGTCTCAGAAAATACTGACTGAGTGTGTTTTAATTGACAGATAAGTCGAGGAAAGAGTTTAGTCAAGAAAGTTATTAAGGAACAGGTAAGTGATGTACTCAAAAAAACAAAAAGAAACGGAATGCAAACCTCATTTCATTAATTCCATTTGATTTAGGCTCATTTTAAAAAAAAAATGCTGCCTTGCTCATTAACAATTTAGATTTAAAATGATAATTGCAGTGTTAGAAACAGAACCCTATAGTGCAGAAGGAAGCCACCTTGCTCAAAGAGCAAGGAGATCACTTCAATCCCACTGCTCTGCTTTATCCCCATACCCCCTAATCCCTCTGTTTCATATGCCTGTCTATTTCCTTTTGAAAGCTGCAATGGATTCCCACCTCCATCACCCTACTTGGCATTCCACATGCCAACAATTCTCTGGGTGAAAAAATTCCTCTTGAGTTCTCCTTTTACTTTTCTTGTGGCTCTCTTATAGTGTTGATGTGTATTGTTCAAATGTTCTTCTTTCTCTCTTCCTGTTAGGAACTTATCCCTGGAAATAGCATCCTGTCGAATGCTCTGGCATGGGGAGTACGAATACTTTACATAGAAGGTATCCTTTCAGTTTTACCTTGCCATTTCCAACCTCAGGTTTCAATCTGATTATTATTCAAAATATATGAGGTAGTAAACAGATGCATGGGAAAAGCAAACTTCTGCAACATTAAATATGTTTTATGTTGGACAGGAAAGGTTGGCAAAACAGATTTCCTGGTATGTATATAATTAGTAGTGGAACTTTTGCTGCAACCTGTAAATTGAGATTTGTTTACCCAGAGGGTAGTTAGGATGTGGAATGAATTGCAGGAGAACGTGGTTGAGGCAGGATCTAAATCACCTTTCAAGAAGAAAAAAAAGGAGCAATTTGCAGGGTTATGGGGAAAAAGGTAGATAAATTCATAATAATAAATAATAAATAGGTTTAATTTTCGGTAGGTCAAGGCAAACGTTAGGCAAGTTTCCTGATTCCACACACACGCCTCTGTTTATCTAGAAATAAGTAGGAACCCAGTTGTAGGTCGATTGGCAGTTCACTTTCTGGGGGTTATAATCCCTCAAAAAAATCACTAAAACAAAATTGGTCACTTAACCCACGACTGTTTGTGGGACGCTGCTGTACGCAATTTGCTGCTGTGTTTCTCCCACAAAATACATAATCACTCCACAGTATTTTCTGTGAAGCGCTTTGTCACCTCTCAACAACATGATAAGGCGCTATATCAAATTGAAGGTTTTTTTATTATTAAATGGGACTGAGAGGATGGCTCTTTCATAGAACTGGCACAGACAGAAAGGCTGAATAGCCTTATTCTGTGTTAATTTTGTAGTTCTGTGGGAGTAAGATGAAAACACATAGTTAGTACCCTGTTTTATAGAGTCTCCATATACAACATTTTGACAATCATCTAAAGCAGCATGGTCCAGCAGCCGGGTGGGTGATTTTAAGTGGCCGATTTTATGCAGTGATTTTATGGTCACGATCCCCTTGAGGTCTCGGTGATAGAGAGGCGGCCATTACTGGGTTCAGGCGGAGCTGCCATTTCACAATCTCCCGCCTAAAACCCCGTGTGACATTGCTTCCGCCTGCCAGGTTTGAATTCCTGGAACCATGTATAGTATAGTCTCCTTTCCCTCTGTCTTTTCCCTGCAGACTGCTTGGTGTTATCTTCTGGATTGGGCAACCTGGTGGATAACACAATGAGTGCCTTGACCCCTCTCCTCCCTCCGTGCCGCCTCTAGCCACCTGCAGTCTCCAGACTTGTGGGCTGACTGTGCCCCACTAACTGCCTACCTCAAGTGTCAGCGTGTGCATCTTGGCTACCGCCCCTGACCCGAGCTGCTTTTCCCCCAAAATGCTCCCTACCCTGCAACTCTCCCTCTCTGTCCTCTCTCTGTCCTCCTCGCCTCCTATACCCACTTGACCTTTGCTCCATTCTGGGACTCCTCTGTCAGGCTCACCGTGACACTCGCCATTGGCTGTCCAGCAGCAGCCACACTGACTGCCCCATTCCCCATTATCGCCACAAGCCCCAATAGATCCAGACCCTGTGGTCAAACCTCTCCTCCCTCATCCACATTTCCACCCTCCCTGCCAATCCTCCCACCAGCCCCTCCCATCTCACACATTCCTCTGCCAACTGTTCTCTCTGCATCAGCCTACAAAATGTCCGCTCCCTTTCTAACAAGGCCCTCGTCATCAAAAACATCATCGTTGATGAAAACATCGATATACTGGCCCTCACTGAAATCTGGATCACCCAGGCGATACCTTCCCCATGATTGAGGCCACGCCACCTGACTATACCTTCCACCATGCCCCACATCCTAATCGCCGTAGCGGTGGTGTGGTTCTCATCTCCAGGTCCTCACTTGCTCTATCCCCCTAAATCACTAGCTCATTCCTCTCCTTCGAGCACCTTACCCTCTACCATCCCTCCAATCTTTTCCTCAAAATTCTAATGATTTATCGTGTTCCCTCCCCCCCACCCCAAACTCCCCTACCTTCATCTCTGACATCTCCGCCCGCCTAGCTTCCCTCTGCCTCTGTTCTGAACCTCATCCTAGGTGACCTCATCCTGCACTTCAACCCCTCTTGCTCTATCTCCACTGATTTCTCTCCTTTCCTCTCATAACCTCTCCCTCCACATCCACTCTGCCACCCACGTTCATGGTCACCCACTCGACCTGGTGATTACCTGGGGCTTCAGTGTCTCGGACCTCACAGTCACCGATAAAGTCATCTCAGATCACCATTTCATCTCCCTGATCTCCTCAATCCCTTTCCCCACTACTACCCAACCCACCTCGATGTCCTACCGCACTCCCTCTCTGCTGCCTTGGAGTCGTCTGAACTCCTCCCCCCCCTGGACTACCTTCTGTACCAATTTATCCTCCTCGGTCACTGCTCCACAACTCCCTCTGCACCATTCTCGATGCCCTTACCCTCTTCACCTCCCGCACCCCTCCTACTCAAGCAACTCACCCTGGTATTCCAGCCACCTCTGTTCACTCAATGCTCCACTGAACGTACCTGCTCAAATCTGATTTAATGGTCCGTTGGCGGATCTGTCTGGACCTTATCAAAAAATGTAACGCTCCCTCCTCGCCTCCGCTAAATCATCCTTCTATTCTGAGATAATCTTGGAGGCCAAGGACAACCCCAGGCTCCTCTTCTCCACTACCAACCGGCTCCTCTGTCCGCCCTCAAACACCTCGCCCATCCTCTCTCCAACTTCAACTGTGAGGAGATGCTGGATTTTCCTCGAGGCCAAAATCGAGGGGATCCATTCCTCCGTCTCCGCCCTCCCAACAGCCACCCCCTCCCTGTCTCTCCCTCACACTCCAGCTATGCCTCCCTCCACACCTTCAAACTTGTCTCCCCCTCCTATCTCACCACCACTGTAACATGCACGAAGTCCACCACCTACTCCCTCGACCCCATCCTTACCCTCTCCTTACCTCCCAGCTCCACTTCCTCGCCTCTTTACTCTCAGGCCTTATCAAGCTCTCCCTGTAAACCTGCACCCTTTCGAAGCACCCCCCCCAACAAACAGCTGTCATCACCCCTATCCTAAAATAACCTCCTCTGGACCCATCACTGCTTACAAACTACCGCCCCATCTCCAGCCTCCCTTTCCTTTCCAAGGTCCTGGAACAAGTTATTGCTTCCCAGCTTCACTCCTTCCTCTCCGGCCACTCCCTCTACAAACCCTCCAATCGGGTTTCCGTGCTGCCACAGCACAGAATCAATGCTGTCAAAGTGACAATTGACATTCTGTCCATCTGTGACCAGGGCTTTCTCTGTTTCCTCGTCCTCCTTGACCTTTCTGCTGCTTTCGACACTGTGGACCATTCTATTCTCCTCCACCGCCTCTCTCACCGCAGCCTTTAAGGTTCTATCCTTGAATGGTTCAGATCCTATCTCTCACACCAGCTCCACTTTGTCTGCACAATCAGCTTTGGAGTCCTGTAGCTCAGTGGTTAGAGCACTCGCTTTGCAAGTGAGAGACCTGAGTTCAATTCCAGGCGGAGGGCGAAACCTTGGGCAAGTTTCCTTACTCCACACGCCTAATAATAATCCCTCCAAAAAAAAAAAAATAATAATAAATTGGTCATTTTCAATCTACGACTGTTTGTGGGACATTGCTGTGCGCAATTGGCTGCCGCGTTCGCCCACAAATATACAGTCAATTCACTTTAGAGTGTGTTCTGTGAAGCGCTTTGGGACGTCCTCCCGACGTGAAAAGCGCTATATCAAATGCAAGGATTATTATTATTATTATTATAATGTTGCGAAGGTAGCGGAAGGCAGAGTGGGTCATGGCACAGATGTGGGAAAGAAAGGAGTTGAGGGTCGAACAAGACGCCCAGGTTCCTGACTGGCTTGGTGAGGTGGAGCGTGCATCCGTGGATGCTGATACTGCCAGTGTCTGAGGTGCAGAAACGCTGGCGGGAGCCAATCAGGAGAGCCTCGGCTTTGCTGACGTTCAACTGTAGAAAGTTGGCTCTCATCCAGGACTTGATGTCTGACAGGCATTCTATCAGGACAGCAGTGGTCCTGGAGTTGAGGGTGGAGCATTGCCCGACTCCACCACTGCTTCATCCCTCAGGCCACCAAAACCCTCAAAGATGCCTTCAATACATCCAGGCTCGACTATGCCAATGGCCTGCTTTTCGGCCTTCCCAACTCTTTCCCCCCAACAAGCTACAGATCGTCCAGAACTCTGTAGCTTGTGTCCTCTCCCACACCAGGCTCCGTGACCCCATCACACCCACCCCCGCCCGACTCTACTGGCTTCCCATCCCTCAGAGGGTCAATTTAAAAAATGCTCATACTCATCTTCAAGGCCCTCCATTTGTCTTGCACCCTCCTCCCTTATCAACCAATCTGCTCCCTCCGCTCAAAAGGCTCTGGCCTGCTCCATGTCCCCCGCCTGGCCCCCCACCACCATCGGCGGTCAAGCTTTCATTCTCTCTGCCTCACTCTCTGGAACTCTATCCCACATTCCCTTCACCTCGCTCCCTCCCTCACCTCCTTCAGTGCACACCTCAAGACCCTCCTCTTCGACCGTGCCTTCGGCTACCCTCTCTGCCCAGTATTAACAAAAATAACTACTGTATATTATTTCCCAAATTTATACTTATGAAGAAAAACTTTGCTAAATGCCAATTCCAAATGTTATTTGAATTGTAGAACATATATATGCAAATTTGGTTGGAGGTCTCATATTAAAAATTGCTTCTTTTAAGAAACTTTTGTAAATGTTGTTTATCTTTCTACTGTAATTCCAAATTAATTTGAACAATCAAGCTTTTATGTGATCTTAATGTTATTTTAGATGTAAAAATTTACATTGCAAGAAAGAAAGTGGCATCTGGAGCAAAACCTGCCAGTGCTGTCAAGGGGGTAAGAATATTTTTCATTGAACTACATGACAACATTGTACATCATTTTTTTACGTCTGCCGATGGTGCAATCAACCAAAAATTGGGATGGAGTTTAATAATACAATATAATATCTGCTGCTTCTTGTGGAAAATTGAAAATGTAGTACTTGCTTGTTTTCAATCAGTTTACCCAATAATGGAAATACTGGAAAATTGCACCCACGGGAACATATAATGATGCTATTTAAACGGTTAATTTTGAAGCAACTGAAAAATAGCAAATTATGGTTGTAATCTATTCTTAAATATTGTAAGTAATTTTTTTAAATTATGTTTTTAATATAATGGGTATAGTTTCAGTTTAGTGATTCAATGCATTGGACTGCCCTACAAGTAATAAATAATTTTAGAAAGACTATTAAACAGTTGCCTTGTTTAGGAGAATAAATGTAATAAACATTTTCTCTCTGGCTTAGGAGAACTGCAATCAAACTGCCCAAGCTACCAGATATAGAACAAAGGGTAAGCATGTTATAGTATTGCATTTGGAATCTTATTGTTCTGGAATAAACAAGCATCTGTATTTTGATCTTGTTATAATACTTAAAACTAATTATTTCAGACAATTCTTTTTCCGTTAGTGGTGGAGCACTGCTTTGTCAGAAGTGCTGTCCTTTGGATGAAACTTTAAGGTGCTCTGCCTGTTCAGGTGGACGTTAAAGATCTCATGATACGATTCAAAAGGAGGTGTCTCCCGATAAAATTGGTCTTTCACTCCATGGCTATATGGGATATTGCTGTACCAAATTCGTTAGCATGTTTGCTTACAAAAATATACAGTCATTGCACTCTATAGTAAAATCCTGTAATGTTGTTTAGATATTTTGACAAAGTGATAAGGCACTATATCAAATGCAACAATTATGTTTATTATTAAAGTAAATTTGAAAAGTTTCATTCTGATGCATGTTAGAACCCACCTAACATGACCTAACCGATGTGATGGTGGTGATGGTATGGCTCTCATCTCCAGGTCCCCACTTGGCCTATCCCCTTACTCCTCCGGAACCTTCCCGTTCTTTGAGCACCTTAACTTTCGTCATCCCTCCAACTTTTCCCTCAAATTTCTCCTTATTTACCACCCCCCCACACCCTCCCCCACTTCCTCTCTGACATCTCCATTCTTCTAGCTTCTCTCTGTTCTGAACACCTCCTCATCCTAGGCGACTTCAACCTGCACTTCACCCCCTTCTGCACTGTAGGAGTCCTGTAGTTCAGTGGATAGGGCACTCGCCTCGCAAGCGAGAGACCTGGGTTTGATTCCCGGCAGGATGAGACCTTGGGCAAGTTTCCTTATTTCACAGACCTGATAATAATCCCTCAAGAAAGAAAAAAAACAATAATAATTTGGCCACTCAATCCACGACTGTTTGTGGGACACTGCTGTGCGCAATTGGCTGCCGCGTTTTGCCCACAAAATATTACGTCAATTCATTTTACAGTATATTCTGTGAAGCGTTTGAGACGTCTAGAAGACGTGAAAAGCGCTATATCAAATCGAAGGATTATTATTATTTTCTCCGCTGACGTCTCTCCTCTCACAACCTCTCCCTCCACATCCACTTTGCTACCCATGGCTACCCGCTTGATCTGGTGACTACTCAGGGCCTCAGTGTTTCTGACCTCACCATCACCAACAAAAACCATCGTGGACCACTAATTCTTGACCTTAACTCCTCAATCTCTCGCCCCAATACCCAACCCACCACCATTTCCTACCGCCCCTGGAAAAAAATCTCCCCGCAATCCCTCCGTTGCCCTGGAGTCATCTGAACTCCTCCCTCTCTGGGCTTTCTTCTGCACCAACGTATCCTCAGTCACTGTCCTCTCTACCACTCTTGATGCCCTTGCCGCCTCCCTCACCACCTCCTATTCACCCAATTCATCCTGATACACCAGCCACCTCCACTCCCTTAAGGCACACACCTGGCTCAAATCCAATTTAAAGATCCATCGGCAGATCTGGCTGGACCACAACTTACCTCTCCGCCCTTGCCTTCGCTAAATCATCCTTCTATTCCAAGGCAATCTTGGGGGCTGACAACTCCAGGTTCCTCTTCTCCACCACCAATTGACTCCTCTGCCCACCCTCTCAGCCTCGCCCATCCTCTCCTCCAGCTCCAACTGCAAAGAGATGCTAGACTTCCTCGAGACCAAAATCGAAGGGATCCACTCAGCTGCCTCTACCCTTCCAACTGCTAACCTTTCCCCACCACCCCCTTCCCCTCACACTCCGGCCCCTACCCATCCCTCCCTCCACACCTTAGAACTTGTCTATCCTTCCTCTCACCACCATTGTGATACATATGAAACCCACCACCTGCTCCCTTGACCCCATCCCAACCCCTCTCATTACCTCCCAGCTCCACCTCCTTGCCCCTCTACTCACAGGTATCATCAATCTCTCCTTGTCTACTGGCACCATTCCCACCCCCTTAAAAACAACCGTCATCACCCCCATCCTCAAAAAAGCTTTTCTGGACCCATCCCTGCTCTCCAATTACCACCCCATCTCCAACCTCTCCTTTTCAAGGTCCTGGAACGAATTGTTACTTCCCAGCTTCGCTCTTTCCTCTCTAGCCACTCCCTCTACAAACCCCTCTGGTACGGTTTCCGTCCTTCTACTCCAAGACAATCTTGGAGGCCAAGGACAACCCCAGGCTCCTCTTCTCTATCACCAACTGATAGCTCTGTTCACCCTCTCAAGCCTTGCCATGCTCTCCTCCAATGGCAACTGCACGGAGATGCTGGACTTCCTCGAAACCAAAGTCAAGGGGATCTGCTCAGCTGCTTCTGCCCTCATGACCACTATCCAATCTCCCCCTCACACCCCGGCCCCTCTCCATCCTCCCTCCACATCTTCAAACAAATCTGTCTTCCCCCTCCTCTCTCATCACCACCATAACTCACATGAAATCGACCACTTGCTCCCTCGACCCAATCCCTACCCCTCCCCTTATCTCCCAGCTCCACATCCTTGCCCTCCTGCTCACAGACATCATAAACCTGTCCACTGGTACCATTCCCACCCCTCTAAAAACAGCCGTCATCACTCCTGTCCTTAAAGAACCCTCCTTGGACCCATCCTTGCTCTCAATCAATCACCCTATCTCAAACCTTCCTTTCCTTTCCAAGGTCCTGGAATGAGTCATTACTTCCCAGCTTTGTTTCTTCCTCTCCTGCCACTCCCTTCAAGAACCCCTCCACAGCACGGAAACAGCTTTGGTCAAAGTCACATTTTGTCCATCTGCAAGCAGGGCTCCCTCTGCCTTCTTGTTCTTCTTGATCTCTCTGCTGCCTTCAATACCGTTGACCACTCTATCCTCCTCCACCACCTCTCCTCAACCTTCATGATTCTGTCCATGAATGGTTCAGATCCTACCTCTCGCACCATCTCCACAAACGGCTTCTCCTCTTGCCCCCGCACCATCTCATGCGGTGTTCCTCAGGGCTCTGTCCTTGGTCCCCTCCTCTTCAATATCTATATGCTCCCTCTTGGTGACATCATCCGCAAAATGGGATCAACTTCCACATATATGCGGATGACACCCAACTCTATCTCTGCCTCCACCCTCGACTCCAGGACCAATGCTATCCTGACAGAATGTCTGCCAGACATAAAGCCCTGTATGAGAGCTAACTTTCTACAGTTGTTTGTGAACAAGACCGAGACTCTCCTGATTGGTTCCCATCAGCGCTTCCTCACCTCAGGCACTGACAGATCACCATCCACAGATGTACACTCCACCTCACTGAACCAGTCCGGAACCTTGGCGTCTTGTTTGACCCTCAACTATCCATTCTACCCCACATCAGTGCCATATCTCGCTCTGCCTTCCCCCACTCTGGAACATCGCCCGGTTCCGCCACTGTCTCAGACGCAGGCTGCCAAGACGCTCATACACGCATTCATAACATCCAAGCTCCCTGCTTGTCAGCCTCTCCAACTCCTCCCTCCACAGGCTGCAGATCATCCAGAACTCTGCAGCCCGTGTCCTCTCCCGCACCACGCTCCGCAACCCTACCACCCCATCACACAGAGGATACAGTTCAAATCCTGGTCCTCACCTTCAAAACCCTCCATGGCCTTACTCCACCTTACCTCTGCAACCTTCTAACCCGCTACCAACTTGCCCTCTCCCTCCGCTCAGTGGGCTTCGGCCTGCTTCACGTCCCCTGTCTTCCTGCAGCCCCTCTGCCTTGCCTCCTCCCTTGCCTCCTTCAAGACATGTCTCAAGGCTCTCCTCTTCAACCTTGCCTTCAGTCGATCTCCTTCCTCCCTGCCCTCCACCTGCCCCGATCCTGACCCCCAGCTCGGGTCTGAAACACTGATTGTCCAGCGCCTTGGGACGACCTTCCGATGTGAAAGGCGCTATACAAGTGTCATTTTGTTGTCGTCGAGTTTGGAATTTAAGGCTAGATCAATAGAACTTTTTAAATGGGAACTGGATCAACACTCGAGTAGTATAAACATTGAGGGATATGAGGAAATGGATGAAAAGTGGAAATAATAGAAAAAATAGTGATTTAGGAAAACAAACAGCAGTGGCACGGATACCATGGGCCTCTTTACTCCGTTTCTGTGCAAAAAACAATCTGTTTTCATTAGCTACATTTACTGCTGTTGCTCTATGTGCAACTTTTATAGATGTAATGTTGTTTATTTGGGTTTGTAATTTTAAATTACAATATCTAAAGTGTATTTCTTTTAAAGCAGGAAGACTGAAGAAGCCTTTTATCAAAGTTGAAGATATAACTCGGTAAGCTAATTGCATAACAATACCGTACAATAATGATCCTTACATTTGGTATAGCGTCTTTCGTGAAGCAGGACTTCTCAAAGCGCTTCAGAGGATATTTTCTAAACGGTGTTTTGTGGGCGAACATGGCAGCCAATTAGCGCACAGCAATGTTCCACAAACAGCCATATCCCACCAACAGCCATGAAGTGAATGACCAATTGCACCTGGGAGATTGTTGATCAGGACACCAGAGAAACTCCCTTTTTTTTTCGAATAGCGCCATGGAATCTTTAATGTCCACCTAATCTGGGACTGGGTTTAACATCTCATCCAAAAGACAGCATCTCCACCAATGCAATACATTCCTATCACTGCATTGGAGCATCAACCTAGGCTATATGAGTTTCAAACCCAATGTGGGGCTTGAACCCACCAATCTTCTGACTCAGAAGTGAGTGTGCTGCCAGCTGACCTAGTCTGGTGCACAATATTATGCTCAGCAACTGATTTGGATAGTGTAATCCCTAAGTAAAAGTTGAAGGTTTTTGTTTAGTGAATTGAATTTAAAAATTAGTTTTATAATTAAGGTTACAATACTTGCTAACTAGAATAATATTTAAAATACTTGTTTAATGTAAAAAAGGCAAATATTCAGCCTGATAAATTCTGTTTTTTCTGTGCCCCATAAAATCATCTCTGGTCGATTCTGTACCATTGGTCAATAACTGATGCATTTTATGTTATTTAACCGAAGCAGCAGTAACCCTCATCCACACCTTCGTCACTTCCTGGCTGGACTTTTCCAATGCCCTCCTCGCTGGTCTCTCCAGCTCCACCATACACGTAATTGAAATAATTCAAAACTCCGCCGCCTGGATATTCACCCACACAAAACTCCATACCTCCATCACATCAGTACTTGCCAGGCTCCACTGGCTCCCAATTACCGAACGTATGGATTTCAAGATCCTCTCACTCGTTTTCAAATCCCTTCATGCCCTCACACCTCCCTACCTATCCGATTTGTTTTCCCCCCATTCCACCACACGCTGCCTCCGCTCAGCTGAATCCGGCCTCCTGTTTGTCCCTCGTCCCTCCGCTCCACCATCGGTGCCTTGCCTTCAGCCACTATGCTCCAAAACTCTGGAACTCTCTCCCTGAATCCCGCCGAATTGCCTCCTCACTCCCCACTATCAAATCACCTAAAGACCTTCCTTTTTGATCATGCTTACACTTCCTTCCCCCCTCCCTCTCCCCCTGGCTCGGGGGTCAGTCTCTGCCACTGTCAAGCACTCCGGGACACTACCCCACGTTATGGGTGCAATATAAATGCAAGTTGTTGTTGTTTAATATGTCCATTATTGCAGTGGGTCTCTGACATAATCTGATTCATATTGCAACATACAGATTAACTTGGGAAGGAAGTATGACGGGTTTTGCTTTGACACGCCATTTCTAATGGCAAGATGCTTTTGATTCTTATTGAATTAAGTGTCAATTAAAATGTGTTTTATGCAGCTATTACAGACCATTCTACCACCAGTTTGATTGCTATCCAGAGATCAACTACCATGGTCCAAATCCTTGCAGCCCTTTTGATGTTGAAAAGAAAAACAAAAGTGGTGATAAGCAAAATAAAGGAAAAACTAGGTAGATTTTGTTATTTTCATTTACAAAGAATTTCTTGTGGAGAATAAATGCATAATTCTATAACATATGTTTTCTTATCTTAGTTTTAATATTTGCAAGTTTTCTGTTTTCCTACATAAGCAGAAGTAAACACCATGAAATGTCTTGCAGTGAAAAGAATCGCAGAATGGAAAGAAAAATCATGGAAACTTTAAAAGAGAAAAAAAAAAGGGGTTACTGTGAATGCTGCACAGTGAAATACGACGACTTAAAAGCTGTAAGTGTTGACAACTAATTTTGAGTAGAGAACCTCTGAATAACTTATGTTAATAGCATTGCTGCACTTGCCAGTAATCTGTTTATATTCACCTTGTATCTTGAAAAAATTACCAGAAATGGTAAAAAATCTGAAAAAGCATTTGCATGACTGGTCTAAATTAATCAAATTGATCATCTCTGAACAAGTAGTGTCTGACACAGTTCATTAACACAAATGGTGTTGGCCCACAATTTCTCATGGTGTTGACCTGAAGAGAAGACATTTGCCTTGCAATTTAAGATTTTACAGAATTTGGAAAGTTTGGGTTATTTAATTATTTATTATTAAGAAATGCAGAAAAATAGCTTTCAATCTAAACCGAAAACAGCAAGTTAATGGACAGTGAAGGATTTGCACTTGAGTTGGAGGTTGGAATCAGGAGAGATTAAATGAGACAGACTAGCCAAGGATGAAAATAAAATCTTTATTATATCAATGAACTTTATTTTGTGTGAAAATATACCTTGCACCGTCTTCTGTACAACCTCAAATTTACGATTTGATTTGAAAATAATTTGGATAATTGTGATTTGTACAGACAATGTAAGTGCACATCCCATCTGAGTACTTTCATGGTTATTACTATAGCAGAATTTTCCCTTCCCTTTTCAGTTTTCTGAAATACTGTATTCCCAAGGCTGATTTGATCTGATTTTGTTTGAGTAGAATTAGGAGTTTGCTTGTGAAGTATTTTATTTTCTCATGTTTTGTCTTTTTAGCACCTGAAAAGTGAACAACATAAAACGTTTTCACAGAGTACGGAGTTTAATGTTGTGGATCAAATCACTTCACAATTTGACTGTGACTTTGAGGAATTCCCAAAAGTTAAAATGAAAAGGTAATACTTGAAAAGATTGTACACTTTAAGGTATTCTTCAGTTCTCCAGTGCTTAAAGGCATTCATGACTGTATATGATACTTTGCTGTGTATAAAATGGCTGACTGTTGTAGTGTGAGGTCATACAGAATAACGATACAGGTGTAAAGTGCTTAGAGATATTTTGACATGAGTCAATATATCAAAATGCAAGTATTGTTGCAATGTTTGCAACAAATAAATGAGGAAAAGATACGCTGAGAAGTAACAGGGTCACTCTGGCCCCACAAAGTCAAAATAAATCGGTCCTTAAGCAGGTATTGCTGTTATATTACATGAAAAGAAAAACTAGGTGACAAAATTCAAATCTTTAACATGATGCTCCTCATAAAGCATGCACCACATATCTGACCATAACCTCATTTGATGAAGATATGGCCAGCAGATAATATTCAGCATCCATGGAATTGCCAGTGTGGGGGTCTTCAGCCAATACAAATAGAAGAGCATTTTGGCACCAATAAAGATAGGATTGAGATGATTTTGCTTCTTTAACAGATTTAGGATTAGTACCTAACAGATTAATGCCTCCGGATTAGGGAGGTGATATCTGCACCAATTTGCAAAAGAGATAAATTGCTCATCATTAATAACCAGTGCAGATATAGTCAGAGTATCTCAAAAGTACCAACTGTCTGTACGTCTACTCCCTCCTCTACTATGATCTACATTGGAGCATCTGAACCTGGTCGGGGGCCATTGCTCCCAATTAGCCTGACCACTGCTCTGGAGCCTGGGCAGGCACTTATGTTGTGATAACCAGAACTTTATGCAGTATCAGTATATTCCATTAAAACTGTCTGGCTTTTAAAATTCTGTGGTACGTAACATAATCAACCACTTTTAATTTTTTTTAATTAACCGGATGTCTGGCGCATGCATAAACCCTCTACCTCTGGGATGCCACCCTGCGTGAGGGGTGCTATATAAATGCAAGTTGTTGTTTTTACTTTGCTTAAGAGGTTCCAAACGAACAGAATTCCCCATTTGTATGCCCCCTATAAATGGAACGTTTGTATGTTTTAAAGTTCAGTTAATTGTATTAACTACTTAATTAATATATTTCAAAGATAGCATGTGTTGCTAATAATGCTGAAAAGCTATCTATTTGCAAGTACTTTCAATAAAAAAAACTCCTAACTTGTTTGTGAAATGATTCTGTATTTCATAAACAATGTAACTGGTGGCATTTATAGACCTTTATTTTTTGTGCAAACTAATACATTCATTACTTTTTCACACCATCACTTTTAATGGACTTTCTATATTGATGGTTTGAGTAACTTGTATTTTGAGGATTTAGATATGATTAACTGCACCCTTTTTCATGAACTTTTAAATTAATGTAAATAATTCATGAACTAAATGGAAAATCCTCATGATCATAATGAATGTCTCTCTTTGTTTAGAGTGAAATGCAGTGTTGATGTAAACAATCAAGTTTTCACTGTTGCAGAAATGCATGAAGAATTTCAAAGATCCTATAAAGAATACGTGGCTGGAACAAGATCTGGAATAAGTTGGAGCCTAAAGAAAAATGAACTTGTAAGTGGATGGGAAAAGAAAACAAGTAATTTGACTGTCCAAGAAAAAGAAACTATATTCTCACGTACAAGTCAAACCAACTTAAATCTGCATTTATCCACACAAGGGCAACCCAGTATTTCTGACTTGGAAGTTAAATCATTTTCTGTTGATAGTAAGATTTGTGAAGAAGGTGCAGTAAATTCTGAGAATACAAGGAAGAACATAACTCCACACTCCAGTTGGTCTGTATGTCAAAGGCCGGAAGGAAGTTCTATAATTTCAAAGCTGTGTACATCAAGAAAATTGTGCTCCATCAGGACACTATCAGAAAAGGAAAAGTCTCAGTCTTTTACTGAAGAATCATCTCGTAAACTTCCATTTGATGATGATGTCCATGGATGTATGCTAAAGAAGGATACTAATATATGTTCTGGCAGTCGTGAAAGCGAATTAAGATTACAGACATTAGCAAAACATTATTTGCCGCAAAACCATAAGGAGATAGAAAGTCCGGCCCTTCATTTTTCAAAGAATTCCAGAATTGATCCTACCTCATCTGCTCCAATTGAAGATACTTACGCTGGTTTGCAGATGGAATTAGATTTTGGCAAAGACAACCGACTAGAGCAAAGAGAAGAATTTGTAAATGAAATAGCCCCTCCATTACAATCTACTCCACAAAAACAAACTGAAGCGAGTTCTAATCCTAACACTGAAGACACTTCATTCTGTATGAAGCTACATAGGAGAGTAACATTTTCATCAGTGTATGGAAGAAATAAGAAAGCTCTGAAGGACAAAGTGGAGCTAAGGAAACTTGCCATAAAAAACAGAGAGACTGAAAATGTTGCATCTCCAAGCTTGCCAATGAAAAAAATGTTGAAATTATTTCAAACCAGCGAAGAGAGTGGCTCAGAATTTGGGGGCTTTGCAGATCACTCTGCACAAAAATTGTCAGAAACAGAAAGTGATCTGTGTCACAATCAGCCAGAGGATGTCATGTCACTCTTTGCCCAGACATCATCGTTATCATCTTTTCTTGGTTTTTAGTGCAATGTTTCAGTAACAATGTTTCTTTACATCAAGAGATTTTAGATCAAAGCCCTTGAGTCATGTACTGTTTGCTAAGGGGCTAGAATTTTAACCCTCTTCCAGTTTTGACAGACATCTATCCAGTTCAGTTTTCTCATTTGGTCATTTTTATGTGGATTATAGAATAAGTTTGGGGAATGAAAAATAATTACTGTACAACCCACCACAATAGTCCAATTATACATTCCTCTATTTCGGCCTTATCCAGTGTTTTTGCAGGTGTGATTTATAACACAATTCTGATCCAATATTATTGTAAACTACCAAGTGTTATCAATAAAATCCAACAGCAAAATCTTGTTCTTTTTAACTTCTGCTTTAATATAATTTTGCTTCACACAATCCAGAAATATGTAAAACTTGCCAAATTCCTTAATTTCACTTAACAGTTAATGCGCAATAAATATGAATGATTCACCTCAATATCAGATTTTTAAAACAATCCTGTAAAGGTACAAGCCTATTCCTTAAATGGTTGTTTTCCTTCTTTGATAAAATCTGATTTTTAAATTATCTAATATTTAAATTGTCTATTAAGATGACATGATATAACTGTAAGGATGAGTTGCATAACAACTGGAAGAAATAATTGCATGATGCCTGTGCCTATTCAAATGGATGTTAAGGATCCCATGGCACTATTCAAAAAGAGAAAGGAGTGGCTCCTGGCTTCCTGGCCAACAATCCCTCAAATAAAATTTGTTCACTGATGTCATGGCTGTGTATGGGACATTGCTGTGCAAAAATTTGCTACCATTAAACTATAAAACACACAATCATTATACTGTACATGATTGTGAAGCACTTTAAGATGCCCTCCTAACACGGAAGTTGCTAAATCAAATGTAAGGATAATTATTTATTATAGGGAGTGACTATACTAATGCTTCCTGTATATGGCAAGCATGCAACATGCAGGAAGTGGATGACTACCAACAAGTTGTCCATTTTTAGTGTGGAAAGTCAGCTAGTTCGGAGCCCTGTATAGCTCAGTGGTTAGAGCACTCGCTTTGCAAGTGAGAGACCTGAGTTCAATTCCAGGCAGAGGGCGAAACCTTGGGCAAGTTTCCTTACTCCACACGCCTAATAATAATCCCTCCAAAATAAAAAACAATAATAAATTGGTCATTTTTAATTCATGACTGTTTGTGGGACATTGCTGTGCGCAATTGGCTGCTGCGTTCGCCCACAAATATACAGTCAATTCACTTTACAGTGTGTTCTGTGAAGCGCTTTGGGACGTCCTCCCGACGTGAAAAGCGCTATATCAAATGCAAGGATTATTATTATTATAGTCAGTGCCAAAAGCTAGGTATGCTGCATTTCTAGTTAGCACTGGGCAGCAGTGCTGGAAGAAAAGCAGTGTTGTACCAAGCATAATCCTTGTATGTACAAACACAAAAAGTACAACACATCTTGCATTTATATAGCACCCTGCACATGGGGTAGTGTCCTGGACCCCTTGACAGTGGCGGAGTCTGACTCCGAGCCAGGGTGAGAGGGAGTGGTAGGTGACCGTAAACATGATCAAATAGGAAGGTCTTCAGGCGGGATTTGAAAGCAGGGAGGGAGGGAGGGGGCAAGGTGAATGGAGAGAATTCCAGAGGTTCGGGGCATAGTGGCTGAAGGCACGGCCACTGATGGTGGAGGGACAAGGGACCAGAGGCAGTGGGTGGGGGAGTGGGGTGTAAGCAAATCGGATAGGTAGGGAGGTGCGAGGGCATGAAAGGATTTGAAAATGAGTGAGAGGATCTTGAAATCGATCCATTCAGCACTGTAATTGGTATGATGGGGTATGGAGTTTTGTGCTGGTGAGAATCCGGCCGGCGGAGTTCTGAATAAGTTGTATTTTGAGTATTGTGGAGCTGGGGAGGCCATCGAGGAGGGCATTGGAATAGTCCAGCCGAGAAGTGATGAAGGGGTGGACGAGGGTTTATGTGGAGTCCTGTAGCTCAGTGGTTAGAGCACTCGCCTCGCAAGTGAGAAACCAGGGTTTGATTCCTGGCAGGGCGAAATATTGGGCAAGTTTTCTTACTCCACATGCCTCTGTTTACCTAGCAGTAAGTAGGAACCCGGTTGTTAGTCAATTGGTGGATCACTTTTCCTGGGGTAATAATTCCTTCAAAAAAAATAATAAAAAATTGGTCACTTCAACCCATGACTGTTTGCGGGACACTGCTGCCGCGTTTCGCCCACAAAATATATAGTCAATTCACTTTACAGTATGTTCTGTGAAGCGCATCTAAACAATCTGATAAGGCGCTATATCAAATGCAAGGATTATTATTAATATCTCCATGTAGATTGGATTCATGAGCAAGGATTGAGCTACTGGATCTCTGTATGAGCTAAGTAGAAGGGGCAAAGCCTATTTCCAATGAATTAGCACCCAAGAGATTTCAGGTCCTGCATTACATCAAAATACATTCACAGAGGGCAATTTGGTTAAATACTGTTCCCACCATACAGTTCTCCTGCTGGTTCCTGGTGCCTTGTGTTGTAGTTGAATGTACATGTAGATGTGATGTATAGGCACAGATCAGCCAAGATCTAATAGAATGATGGAACGGGCTCGAGGGGCTGATGGGCCTACTCCTTCCTGTTCCTATGTTCCTAAGCTCAGTCAGTGGTATTTCAGGTAAAATGCAGGCACCGATTTGTGGGTGGATGGGGGAAGCTGAGTTGCTGGGGTCGATTGGTGGATCATTTTCCGGGGATAATAATCCCTTCAAAAATAAATAAATAAATAATTTTGTCCCTCAATCCACGACTGTTTGTGGGACACGGCTGTGCGCAATTGGCTGGCGTGTTTCATCCACAAAAATATACTGTCAATTCACTTTACAGTATATCCTGTGAAGCGCTTTGAGACATCTCAATGACGTGATAAAGTGCTATATCAAATGCAAGGATAATTATTATAAAACAGGAGAGTAAGATCTGAGCAGTGATTGGCTATCGTAGCTGTTATTTATCTGGAAGGGCGACCTCTGGGCGATGTTTGGCCTGTCTGAGCTCTCACTCACCTGGATGTCAGGGTCTGGGGTGGTAAACATCGGGAACCAATCACCGGGGCACTCAGGAAATTGCCCAATTTCCTATTTAATGTCACCACACTGATTAAAGACTATATGACTCAATGTTTGTTGCATGTGAATAGTGTGCAAATAGAAGGAAAATGTTAGCATTGCAAAAGAACCTAACATGATAGAACTGGGGGTAAACTATAAATATTTGGTCTGTCAAATCTGCCCGTGTAAACGTTGAATGATTAGCCATTTAAATTAAACACGGTTCTGCTCTTCAATGTTATTGCTCAGAATGAAAGTATCCAATATTAATATAGAATAGACTGACCAGTACTGACTATGCATACAGTATTCCTAATGCAAATTTCCCTGTGCCGGCTCTTTGAAAGAGCTATCAACTAGTCCCACTCCCCCGCTTTTACCCCATAAGCCTGTCAATTGTTCCTTTTTAAGTACCTGTCCAATTATGTCCAGAGCAGAAGTATTTTACAGTATCTTTCACAAACTCATCTACGTGTATGTATTTATATATTCGATCATTAAAATCCTTGCATTTCATATAGCGCCTTTCACATCAGCAGGATGTTTCAAAGTGCTTCACACAGAATTTACTGTAAAGAATAGTGACTGCATATTTTGTTGTCAAAACACAGAAGCTAATATGCACGCAGCAAAATTCCACAAAGTCATGAAATGACCAATTTTATCTGGGGGATTTTTATTGTAACAAAATATATATTTATTTGTTGATATATATTTACGCTTATCTCATACAGTATCAAACCGTTACAGAAGAACTGTTCCAACTACCTGTCGCGCAGACCACTCGATGATTGGGCAGGGGTCTGAGATGGTGTTCTTCAGGAATTTCTCTACATAGGATAAGTGTTTTGGCATGCTCCAACTGTGAGAACATTTCAAGGCAGTTCTGCCAGACCCACCTTTCTCAGCACTGGGTACAGGTAGGAAACCCAGCACATGGTGGCATTTGTTGCTGGAGTAGCTGGGCTCCAACACAGCCTCAGGCAGCTACACACAAAGATGGCTATGAAGATCAGGGCTTCGCTAGGGACCCCTTTGCCACCCTTGTCTGTGGTCTTGTGCATCGTATCTCTGTGGACACAATTCATTTGGTAGAAAATTGCTCTGGTGACTGCAGTGGTGTTGTTCCTGGTCAAAGGCCAGATCTGGGCCACGGACAGTAAAAGTGAGAGCACCTCACACTTTATCACCAGGCTTTTCCCGGTGATGCACAGCGAGCATTGGTGCCACATCACCAGTATTTTACTGTATCTAGACGCTCCTCCCAGCTATTTTGGCCCCAGACTCCCCAATCCAGATGTTGAGGACCTTGATGCATTCTGGTTTCACCGCAAATGGCATGCATCTGCAGTCTTGCCAATTCCCAAAATACATCACTTCACTTTTCTGGTGGTTAACCTTGGCGTCCGAGAATTGTAGGCTTAGCCACCAGGAGAAGCTCTCATTTTTTTAAGAGCACCATTAGGATAGATAGACAGGAAGTTGGTTTAACATCTCATCTAAAGCACAGTGCTTTCAACAATGCAGCGCACACTTATTGCACTGCAGTGTCATCTTAGACTATGTGAGTTCAAGTTCTAACTTGGGGCTTGAACGCACAGCCTTCTGACTCAGAGAGCGAGAACACTACAATGAAGTCAAACCTGAAGTTTGATTTGCATTTCAATAATTGTTTCAAAGTTAACACACTTGCTCCATCTGGTGGTCATTGTGTAATTTGTATTTGTTTCCTCCATTATGTCAAAAATGTTAGTTTAAAATAATACATCATTGTTTTAATTGTATACACATATAAGTGGATACCAACATTTTGTATTTACAATGTAGAGTATAGACTCGCACGCTAGCCCCTACCGCCTATCTCCAACCTCCCTTGAATGAGTCGTTGCTTCCCAGTTTTGCTCCTTCCTCTCCGACCACTTCTTATACAAACCCCTCCAATCAGGTTTCCGTGCCGCCCACAGCACAGAAACAGCCCTGGTCAAAGTGATAAATGACATTCTGTCCATCTGTGACCAGGGCTCCCTTTGCCTTCTCGTCCTCCTTGACCTCTCTGCTGCTTTTGATACAGTTGACCACTCTATCCTCCTCCACTGCTTCTCCTCCCATCTCAGCCTTCATGGTTCTGTCCTTGAATGGCTCAGATCCTGCCTCTCACACAGTGTCCTCCCTTCCTATTTTCAGGTCTCTGCTGAAGACCTTTCTTTTCGACCGCACCTTTGGT